TCAAAGTGGGCGCTCTGTGTCGTGAAGACCCATCAGCAGATGAGGTCCTGCAGGCTGTAAAGACTTGTGACATGGGTTTACTCATGGGTGCAGCCATCATGGATAATATACTTCAGGTTATTGTTCGGATTCTGCAGGGTGAAGTCAGTAAATCCATTAAAGAAGGAAATGAACGTGAAAATGCTGAGGTCAAGGTCAGTGGTCTTTTTATTTTAACAGTTTTCTACGTGAGTTTGTCACAAGTTGTTAGTTTCCTCAGTAGTGACATAAAAAGTGGGGTAAAAGGATTTGAATTGGGGCTAGTAATGTGATGCTTCGTTAAGATTTGAGTTGAATTTTTTAACATTGTTGTCTTGAGAGCTTAAAATTAATTGCTACAGCACATGTATAATTAAAAATTAAAAAAAAAAACAGAATGAAGGAAATCATCAGTTATCATTACCATAAACCTGGACTGCTGGTTTAATTTAGGTGACCACTAAGTGCTGTGGTGCAGTCAAGTTAAGGTTCTTTTCTAGATTCTTGATGATTCAAAGTTTGTGTATGTAAATGTAAAGCAGTTTGTCCATTGGGGTTACTGTAGAAACATGAATACGATGATACTAAACGATAATAAAAACATAATGGTTCATTATGTAAGGTCTTTACAAACCACTGAAAACACAGTCCTGTATATTATTTTGCATTTCTGTCAATAGATCCTCATAAATATTAAACACTGGACTTTTTATTTTTGAGTTTTTGGGGTATTTCAGCATGCAAAATAACAAACAGTTATTATCAAAATAATTAATTGCCTAATCCTTTCAGCTCTACAAGAGAAATAAGATCACAGGCGCACAGTTTATCTTGTTATTTTCACCTTAAAGCTCTTCATTTCAGAATTGAATTAAAGACTTGACAAATCCTTGTTGTTTTGGCATCATTAACAGAGAATAAAGATCGAGTGCCCACATGTTCCTGCGATCAAAGAAGAGTTGGCAGTTCCCAGGATAAAGTGTCCTTCACTGGAGAGTTTCAGCACGAACTACCTGCTCCCCCTCAAACCACTGATTTTAGAGGGGATCATTGACCACTGGCCCGCCCTCAACGAACACCCCTGGAGGTTTGCCTTTTTTAGTGTGTGTTCTTGTTCAGTTAAATAGTGCTATGTGTATGACATAGGTTGGTATCATCCATCAGTATCGTTCAGCATATTTCTGTCCAGATGACAATGTCAGTATTATGAACCCATTTATCATTATTAGCATGTTAAACTCATTCAGTCAAACTCTCTACCAAAGGTCTGCTCAGAAATTATAGGTTAGGTGAAATCATAATCACAAGGTCTTCAAGTAAATTTTCATTAAGCAAACCACTTCTGTTTATAAGCACTGGCTCCACGGTATTAATATTAGCATATACTGTTCATCAGTAGTCCTCCATCATGGTTAAACACTACGACCCTGCTTATGTTCAGTCTAGCCATGTAATTAGACTGATTTACACTTGTAACACCAGCTGAGTGACCTTTCCAGAAAACCTGCAGGATGTAACATACAATTTACATGAGTTTGATACTAAGCGCTTTGATGTATAGTGTTAGTTTCGGTCTTTGTTGCTTTAAAATGTGGGTATGTGTGAACTACACAAACTGGGTTTAGGTCAGTTTACTTGTCTCAACATCCATGATTCCTGACTCTGACACTAAACATAACTGCCTCTCCATTTAAGAGTATCCTTCACTGTCCTCCCCCTCACTGCTGACTATTCACTCTGACATCTGACATACGGCTCCTGACATCTGACATACGGCTCCTGACATCTGACTCTCAGCTCTGATGGTGGACATCCCGAAGTGCACACATGACATTTTTTGTGAATTTTGCTCAAGTATTAGAGTAATGTGTAATTCATGCATTTTCTCCCTAACCGCAAAGCATAGAATACCTGAGGTCTGTTGCTGGCTGTCGGACTGTTCCTGTGGAGGTGGGATCCAGGTACACAGACGAGGAATGGTCACAAACACTGCTCACGGTCAATGAATTCATTGATCGATACATTTTAAATAAAGTAAGTACAAGACTCGCTCCTCCATCGTTAAAATTAATAAAGGAAGATAAAACATCTCCATGTGATTTCTAACAGTATTTTCATTTGCTCTGCGGATCAGGATGGAGTGAAAGGTTTGGGTTATCTTGCTCAGCACCAGCTTTTTGATCAGGTATGGTACTGCGTGTTTTTGTCTTAATTTTACTTTGGAAATCAGTGCATGTTTATGAAAATAATTATTTATTAATTTTGTCAGTTTACTAATTGATTATTCATGTTATGTTTTTTTGGCACTATGAAGAACCAACTTTTTCCAGCTTTCTTCCTCACGCCACATCACTTTGAACAGTATTGACTTTTTAGTCCTAATTTAACTGTACAAGTCAATAAATTGTCTGGATTGAACTTTACAAAAAGAGCACCTTGTCAAGCCAAAAGTTGTTAGGCTTTTTAATAGATCAGAATGAGGCCAAACGAGGAGTCATCACTCATCCTGGTTTTTCACACTACATCCTCAACCTGCGATCAGCTGTTTATTTATATTTATCTAGAAACTGATTTAACAATGTCATATTATTTCCTTAAAAGACAAATAAATAAGTGTTAAAAATTAACAATAATAAAGAAACTTACAGCCATGGTAGCTGTGATTTGCTAACATTCTCACAATGACAATGCTAGCATGATGTTTTGCAGCTATGATGTTCGCCATGTTAAGAGGGTTAGCATTTCAACATTTGCTAATTACCATGAGCCCCAACAAATGAGACCGATGGGAATGTCATTAGTTTTGCAGGTATTTAGTCAAAAACCAAAGTAATTGGCAAATAAAAAATTCGACCTGATGACTAGATGAAAAGTTTCGGGTATACCAAAATTACTGCAATTCATCCTTAGGGGAACATGAATCCAATAGTTGTTATAGTTGATATATTTCAGTCTGGACCAAAGTGATGAACAGACTGAAAGACCAAGTATGCCGCTCTGAAGCTGTGCCTTCTTTAGGTGGGTCCTGACAAGCACGTAGTGTGATCTGAAACAAAGCTGCTTCAGCCTGTAACCGTGTACAACATTAAAGCTAAGGGAAACAGCCAAAAAGCATAATATGACCTCTTTAAAATACCTCAAGGAAATGCACAGTAAAAGGACAAAAACGTTGGGAAACGTCTGAAAATGTTCTGGTAAGAAACAACAAGACATTATTTAGTCGGTGAACTTAGTTGTAAATGCCCTTGATGGAATTTTGTTTGTTTTGATGTTGCCTTAGATACCAGAGCTGAAGGAAGACATCCGCCTCCCTGATTATTGCTGCCTTGGTGAAGGAGATGAAGACAATATTACAGTAAACGCATGGTTTGGGCCCGCAGGTACAGTGTCTCCTCTTCACCATGACCCTCAGCAGAACTTCCTGGCTCAGGTGACGATAACAACGCTGCTTTGTGAATCCAGTTAGTGTCAAAGATCTTTCACGGGGTCGCAGTTTGTTTACCACATGGGATTTTCCTCATGTATATATATGTATATCAGGTGGTCGGAAGCAAATACATTCGCCTATACTCCCCCGAGGACACAGACAAGCTGTACCCTCATCAATCACAGCTCCTTCACAATACCAGTCAGGTGGGATTGACAGTCCATAGAGATAGTACATGTTGAGCCTGCTAATATATGCAGTATTTCCAATTTCTGAATCCTTCCATGCAGGTGGAGGTGGAGAATCCAGACACAGAGCGGTTCCCGAAGTTTGCCAAGGCTCCGTATCTCGAATGTGTGTTACAACCTGGAGACGTGCTTTTCATCCCTGTCCGATACTGGCATTATGTCCGATCCTTAGAACTCAGCTTCTCTGTCAGCTTTTGGTGGTCATGAATGCAGATCCATAATAAAAATTGAAAAAAGAGTTTAGCTTCTTTTCTTTTGCTGTGGAGGGAAATCAATTTGGAGATTTTAACTAATACAAGGCTAATTCTCTTAAACGGTAGCACAACCACCGATCACACAAGCTTTCAATCCATGAATGCTGAACACACAGCTGAATGATTAGTTTAATTGTGCTTCTGATGATTGCAACAACATCTATTGTGTGGAAAGCTACCAGCAGGAGAAAAAACAACACAAATGAGCAGTTAAAACTGTTTGTGCTCATTTCATCATGCATATCATTTACGGAGGGTTGTTAGCCATCTAATTTGATATGGATATGTTTCTCTTTTCAAATTGGCTTATTTAATTGTGTTCTCAACCTTATTCCTACAAATATTCTCAGATGTGTGATTTCCATAATTCATGGAAATGAGGCAAGTCTTCAAATTTAATAACCGAGTGAGCTACAGGTACAAAAATGTGGTAATAAACACGGATCTCTGCTTAAACTGACAGACTGAGGCAATCAAGGAGGTCACAGATGAAAATTAATAAATTAAATGAATTAATCCCCTGGGCACAGACAGACTTTGAAATTAAAACTGTCTCATTGGTTAAGTACCCTGACAGTCCAACTCTTGTTGAGCACCAAAAACACAACACCTGACTACAAAGACGGCAGCGCTTCATTTCAGATTTCAGACCTCTGACAAGCCCCAGTCGTGTATCCCGTAGGTCCATTTCAATCAAGCCCTCTAATTAGAACCATGAAGTATGTGAGGATGTGACAAAATGAAGTAGATCAGCACTGATGTACACATTTGATCTGCTTTTCAACCAAATTTGCAGTCAGCTAAAGTAGTGCACTGGGAAATCAAGGCTGCACAAGGCAGGATAATTCTGAGGAGAAGGTGAAGGGTTGTGGGAGTATTTTTTAATAAACAAAACAGCTCATGAAAATTGAATTAAATGTGCTGTTTTGAAAAGATGAGTGAGAATTATGAGTATCAACAAGGAAATTACAGTCTAAAACATGGGGACAACAAACATAATGTATTATGTTTATGAGGAATCACTTTGTGAAATGATGAATAGTTAACAGTTTATAGTTTTTTCATATTTTACTTATCTTGACAGTGCTACAGATAAATGTGTAAGCTTTTATTACATGATTTTCAATGGAGAAACATTGTGGAATAACTAATAGCAATGTTCAGGTAATAGACTTATCCAAACCTAGTTACTTACTCCTTACAAGGTTATCTCTCTAAAGCAATACTATGAACCCTGCCATGACTTAATTCTGTTAGTAAATGCTGTATACTTCACTTAGCCTATCAGGGCTTTGTTGTTGTCAAGTAAGTGGCACAATTGACTTAAGATCACACAAAACTGCTTACTCTCATTATAATGTGATCAATACCCAATTACCAGTGAAGTAGTGTGGGACCTCTGGGCCTATCCAACTCGACCCTCATGCTCCTCTTTTGATTAATGGCCTCATGGATTTTCAAATAAATCTGGCAAATCAGGATTAAATCCAGCAGATTCATCTTGTTTTGTAATACAATAAAGAAACTACAGGATGTGCACTGACTACATTAAAAACCTCCAGTCCACCAAAATCTGAAACACAGAATCTTTCTCAGTAAAAGTACCAGATAATTCAGTAAACCTGTTTCTTCAGACATGGCCCTGCTCTGGGAATGCCACATTGTCAAAGTATTTTGTTAGGGTGTTGATGACTGGGGGTAAAAAATCACTTATGTCACTCAGTTCAGTGAAGGAACATAAAATTCAAGTGTGGGCCCCCAATTTGTCTGATTTTCAGGTTATAAGCAACTTAACAAGTATGACCTCAGTAAACATTCCTCTGTTTAGCTACACATCAAACCTTTCATTTCACTTGTTTTCTGTGGCCTTGACTGTTTCACCTCTTCACCATCTGACAACTACATGTTTATTACAAAATGCCAAGTAAATACTTTTAATCACGCGTTTTGATGAAATCACTGAAAATGCAAAATGCGTAGAACTACATTAAAGAATCGCAAAAAACACTGACAACATGATATTGATATTTAACATTTTTCTGAAACATGACAACATTGCATTATTCTCTCTTCTATCAAACTGAATCATTCTGTGAAGCTATGAAAAGTTTTAAAAGTTGTTAAGTCTTAGATACATAATATTTTTAACAGTGTGACATTTGTCTTTAATAACAAACTTGAGCTGAAAGCAATGCAGATAAATGTGAGATAAGGTGAGCGGTTACAAAAGTCCAACGGCAAAACCAACAGTGCAGTGGTGCAGGAGAAAAATCATGTTAATGATTAACGATGATACTGTGTATTGTCAGGTAATTAAAACAGCAGGTGTGCAAGGTACAATCCAGGCTGACTGATAACCATGTAATGCTATTCAAACGTTGTCTGTTGTTGGTTTCAGTTGTGGCAATAGTTTTGACTGTGAATGTTATTCAAATGTATGTGACCTTCAGTGCATTCATAATACTAAAAATAGATTTTAATAACCCCTCATGAAATAAAAAATACAGGATTGTCTCACAAAACTATCACTGCTGATGCAGAAGTGTCCACTTTCTAATATTCCTGAAAATCTATAGAGAAGTTCTGCATCCTCTCCACCACGAAGAAGCAGAGTGCTCCAGTGAAGCCCAGGATGACCATCAGCAGGAGCTGCCACATCAACAGGAGGTAACTGCTGTAGAAGAATGCCACCGCTGCAAAAACAGACTGACAAAAATATAATAGATTTTGTTTTGTAAATAAAGTTTCAAATAAGGAGGTGAGCATGTGTAAAAGTACTACTGTGAGCAAAAAGCTCAGGCGCTCTGAGCTCCCATAGACTTTACATTTTGATGACATCACAGATTTTCACAGATCACTTTTCTCAGCTTGAGGAAAGTTTTACAAATATAAAACCTCCATGGATCAGAAACCATAATGTGTGTGTCATAACTGAACTTGTTTGCAGTTCGAGTCGTCCTGTCAACAGTTTTACAAATGTATCTTGTAATTGTGCAAATGGGTAAAATGCTACTTGGGCAGCAGAGGAATTCTTCGCTGAAAAACAAAAAGAGAACACTGGGCAAAATTGAAAACAAGGCTAAGCGGCAAAGCTGTATCCAAGTCTCATTAGTGCTGCCCCTTGGCAGGCTTCCAGTAGTTAGCCAATCAAAACAAAGTGGAAAGTTAGTATTTTTTTATTATTATTGAAAATAAGAAAAAACGTGGGTTTGGGTCAGAAATGTTCCTTTTCATCTTAGCTGGGCATGTCAGTGTTTGTGTTTGACCGTCCAGAACGAGAGACAAAGTAAACAGATTTGCACTGTAGCCTACATGTCATGTGCAGTCAGTGTGTTGTTAGTGGTACCACACCAGCATCTAAGCAGAACCAAGTGACATTTGCAGGTATATTTACATGCTGTTTAATGTGCTGCAGCTAAGCAGTTAATTGGCTTTCTAGCCTGCAAACTGACGTTAGCAGTGGACTTTTTCCCAGGTAAATGTTTGTTTGGTCACTCGTTCAACATGCTAAGGTGCAGGACAAGACGTCTCTTCATGTCTGCAAGTTAAATAAGAAGGAGACTTTAGTAGGAAACTTCTTGTGGGTTGATCATAGTGTGTGAGTCTTATGTTGTGTAGGAGGCAGTTGTCAGGTTCAGTGTGACCGTCTGCCCTACCTATGATTTATGCAATATTTGATGGTTCTGTAATAATAAGGACTCCATATGCGTTCCATCGAATTAATGTTAAACTAGTCGGCCCCATCGTGAAATCATCACCAAAAAATTTATCTCAAGGAGAACACACCATAGGTAATGTACAGAGCAGATATATCCTGTACAAAAAATAAATAAAATGCTCTTTAGTTTCAGGTGAACCTTTAAGAAAATACCACAATTTTTAGGATTCATTTCTTGTCCGAGTCCTTGTTGCAGCAAAGAAAAGGGGAGATTAAGGGGCACATGAGGCCCTTGTTCTTTTCCTTTTTAATTTGGCTTCAGGTTTTATTTATTTGATTTATTTCATCCTTGACAGCACAACATTTTAACCCAGCTTTGCACAGCTCTGCTAACAATGTCTGAGAATTGGCAACACGGGATTACCTGTATGAATTTGAAGATGGCAAAAGCAGGCGTGCTTTGCTCAGCATAAACACGGCCTAATATGCTGTAGAGCTGTGTGTTGAAACAACTGTCCCCGAGTCCAAGCAAGAAGCTGCACAGCAGGGCAATGGATACACTGAGAGAGAAAATATAGTTCTTATTAAAACAAAACTGAATCATGATCTGCCTTACCCATGTTCACACTCCCTTATTGTTAAATTGTCAGAGAAACATACTACCTTGGCGTTAGATATGGCTTCTTTTGGGTGGTAGTATTAAAGACGACAGAGGCATCATCTGGGATGTTGAGGAAGATCAAATAGAAAGCAACAAAATGGACAACCATTCCCAGAAACACCACAGAGGTCCGTCTGAAACGATTGTTCTTACACAGCAATCCAAACAAGCCACCACCTGATGATAAAGAACATCTTTATTAATTCTATGACCTCCAGTGACTTTAAATCACCTAAACACACTCTGATAGAGGAATGTAGACTTACCCACAATTTCTCCAATGCCTACCACAATCCCAGAGATCCCAATCAAGCCCTTAGCTGCCTCTCCAAACTGTGTAGTCGCTCCAATACAAGTCCCGTACACTCCACTGTAGAAAGATAGCTCCAGGCCTGGAGAACAAGCAGAGAACAATGTAGCTGCAAGCCTTCACTGGAGGCTAATATACTTATTACATTAATGCATTCTCCATTTGACTTACCGCTGTATGCCATGCAGGGACTCAGTAGCAGTATGGTTTTAGCCTTTAGAAGTTGCAGGATGGTTTCTAAACAGGAGGCAAACAATACACAGATTTGAATTGCTAATTAATACATAAACCTCCAATTTATATACCGTTTTTACATCTGGATTGAGCTCAGGTACAAATGCAGACATGAAGGCCCCCTTTACCCTCTGACAATTAAAGTTCAATGCAGATAAAAAAAATGGGGAAATAATCTTTAAATGCAGGTGGAAAAACATCCAAGAGAGAATTTCCCCCAGGTGGTTAGGGAAATTCAGATTTTGAAAGAAGTCTGTCCCACTTGGTTTGTTTATATATGCCTGGATGCCCTTTCTTGATATAAATCAGTGTGCATCTTTGATAAACCCGATACCTTTAAGGCAGGTGTACACAAGTCTACATGCACACAAGATACACACAAGACAAAGAGCAATCTGATCATCCAAACAACTTGAGGCTGCACTGAAGGCGGGAGTGAGCGCAGCAGAGTTTCCTGTTGGCGGAGATATAATCTGAAATAAAAGTCTCACACAGGCAGTTTTTGTGTACTCTGTTGTAATGCTAGAAGAGTTGTATCCACATGAAAGCAATTTTAACTTAAAGAAAAACAAAACTGCGTGGTAGTTTCTGACTAAGAGCAGTGAAGTGTGGAGAGCCAAAGGTTACCTGTTGTATGCCAAATAACTGAGAAAGAAAAGCAAAATAACAGACACTTCTGCAAAGTCTTTTTTCTGTCATCAACTATGAAAATATGTATCAGCTGATACAAATTTACTCAGCAAGGAATTTTCAATGGACAGCAATCAGTTAGTTGGCTGGTCCGTCCACCACTTTGGTCCAGACTTACATATGTTATCTCAACAATAATAGATTGATTACCATGAAATTCTTATACAGACATTCATGATCCCCAGAGGAGGAATCCCACTGACTTTGGTGATCCCCTGTCTCTTCCTCTAGCGTCACCCAGGGGTTAAAGTTTTCCCTTATCCAGTGAAAAAGTCAACGGCTATTGGATGGACTGGCACAAAATTTGGTGCAGGGATCCATGGTTCCCAGATGATGAATCCTAAAGACTTTGGCGATGCCCTGGCTTTTCCTCTACTGACCACCGTAAGGTTCAAATTTGTGGTTTTGAGTAAAATATCTCAACAGCTGGTAGATGGATTGCTGTGAAATTTGGTCCGCGCATTCACGTTCCCCCTTCTGGTGAAGTGAACTAACTGGTTATCCCCTGACTTTTTATTAACACCATCATGAGGTCAAAATTTGTGTTGGCCAATGACACTTCCAAAACTGATGACACCCTCCTCAACTGTACTTTGTGTTTTGTGATGATTGGATTAAATGTTAGCATGCTAAAGTGTTAAGAGCCACTAGAATAGCTTTACACTCTTAAGCTGGGTCCCAAATACATACTACAGTCTATACAGTAAATACTACATACTAATCGTCGTGCTATATTGTTTTAACAAGGAAATCAATATACTTTCCATTTTATACATAAAGGAAATTGTATAATACGTGCAACACAAATTGCAACTTTGGAATGTCACTGCCCGTTAAACTTCAGACAGACATCATTTGTTTATTTCTAGGATTTTACATTTTTTGTTTTTAGATCTTTCAGGAGTTGTCTCCCCAGCACCCACAATTTATTCATGAAGTTCCCAACTATAAGCAGCTCCTCAATTTCGTTTGTGCACAGTATTAAGAGGGAGTAATGTGCATCAACAGTACACTCAAAACTTGACTGTTTGGTATGCATACTGTCTGGTTGGAGTATACTTCAGTTTGTCTCTTTTCCAGTGTGAATACGATGCATGCTAAAGTAGAGTATGTAGAATGGATTTGGGACTCACCATTAATCTTGTTACTACATATAGTGCATTATGTATACATATAGTATCTAAGGATACATAATGGATACAGTAGATGCATGCTGATGCAGTGTAAATGAGCAAATCCCAAGAATTACTTAAACAAAATAGACACTCTAGTGTGGTATTCCAAAAGCACTGATAACACTTACTGAATTCTGACTTGGCATCCTGTATGGCAGTGTTTGCTCTGTGTTTATACCTAAACAAAAGAAATAAATCAATTTTCACTTCTATAAAGCTGAAATTAATCAATAGCAAAAAAACTGCACACACAAACAATCATGTAACTTCCTTCAAGGGAACAACAGGTGAAGTAATTTACAAACAGAATGACTTTAGCTGCATAAGGTTCACAAGGATCACTGAAAATCCAAACATACTGCATGTAAATAATGGCTCCCTGTAGGATTCCTTGTTGTGGTTTTGGAATCATGCACACACTCAAACTCAGCAAATAAGCAAAGGATCAAATACCTGTAACTAGGAGATACCAAACGAGTTTGTAAACACAATCTGCTGCCACAAGACAGACAGACAGAAAATAAGTGTGGTCCAAAACAACATTTCTGTATCATCAGAAGCTGATTTTGTTAGTGTTAAAATGTCCTACACATATCTTTGTACCTGGGTTTTTTTTCTGGCCATGTACTTTCCCCATGACTTTCAGTGGTCTTTGATGCCAGCTATATTTTTCATATTCTTTCCATTTCACGATTTGAGTCGAACTTTGTTCAGATTCGTCATAAAAATGTAAATATGTCTGAAATGATGTTGAGGGCTGTGCCTGGAGAATTTGGGGACATTGACTGCTAAAGTCTCCGTCTCAGCTGCCCCAAATCTGCCTGATTTCATCCTACTTGTATAAAGTGCAATGATTAGGCTTGACTCTGACAAAATTTCAGTGATCTGGAGGAAAACGGTCAATGTCATTTTTGTGATGGACAAGAGTGTTTTAAACATCCTGCAGTACCACAGCAGTGTGTCATCTTGAAAACCCTTGCAAAATTCTAGGTGGGTTATTTGAAGAGTAATAGTTTCTGAGGTGGTTTGGTTACAGCTTTACATGGTCAACTGGACTAAAAGTAAACTTTTATTTGTATATGTAAAAAAAAAACACAGTCTACTTCACTTTTTATTCACCACTTGAGGTTCATACCCTCTGTGTCCTTTTTCAGTTGTGGTTCAGACATTTTTATATGTTTTGAGTGATTTTGTGAGACTACAGTTGAAAAACGTGTAATTATCTGAAGGATATTCATTTACATCGTGCGAGTTGAGAGCAGCGACTGCCCCTCTTCTTCAGAGAGCATCTCCTCTTCGTGATGGCTCTTTCTCAACACGAGGAAGCTGAGTGTACCGAGTACGGAGGCGGCCAACAGGGACAGAAAAATGTTTTTCCTGCTGCTGTCTGAATGAGGAAGATTAAAATAAGCTGCTTAATTAAAATACACAATATATATTAACAGAATTAAGCTAGAGCATATTCAAAATAACCAATCACTCACATAATCCTCTTGATATTTTGCTTTCATCATCATCATCATACTAGATTTTAATGTTAGAGTCATGACAGTACTTACTCAGGTTTAACCCTACCTGGTATATCTGTCCTTCCATTCCATTCAAAATAAATGTAAAGATTGCCAAACAGCATGCTGTAAATAAGATAAAATACGAAATCAAGCGAGTAAAGGCAGACATGACATTAACACAACACAACATTTCATGGCTGTTGGGTGAAAACCTTGTATCTCAAGTGAAATATATAGACTGTTTTCCATCCATCCAAATTTTCCATTTTCATTGCTTCATTAAACCCTCTTTATACTATTTGGTTAATTGGACACACAAAAACCCACCTCAATTTAGTAGTTGTTTTAGAGCTTTCAAAAACATGATCAGCAGACAGTTTGGTCTGTGTCATGTGATATGATTGAAAGTTAAAAGTAAAATGATGGCATTTTGGAGGCACATGGTTTTTCACCTGACAACAACAGCATGTAATCAACCATCTTGTCATCCATCACTCTGGAACTAAAGCACAAAAAAACCTCTGACTTATTAATTAATTAAGCAATTCTGAAGTGGTAAAAACTCTAACCAATACCACTAGAAAACAAAGTTACACTTTGTTCTCCACAAATGATGCAGTCACCACTGGGACCAATCAGGGATCCATTCCTGATCATGCAAACCCAAATCAGTCCTCAAAAGTTTCTCATAATCAGAGCAATAACATCTGAGATTTTTTAGTGATACAGTCTAACATGTAACTGTGATGCCCTCCATGCAATTTGTTTTGTACAGCAAGTTTCATGTGAATCAACCCTCTGGTGTGGGACTCAAGGGCTTTGACAGCTAAAAATGTTGACCTTTAATTATTTAGGACAATCAGTGTAATTAATAAAACACTGGCTATACATTGCTATCTGAAACGTCATCTGAGGACTCATGCCTGACAGGCAGAAAAAGCACCGTGGACTATTTTTTGGTTGGATCAAACACCGACTTTCTAAAAACAATAATCTGCATTTCTACCTCGTGAGGATGCCTCTTTCATTTCTTTTTAAGCTGTTTATTTGCCTTTCATGGTGAACACTGCAGTCCTATAAACCGCTGAGATCTATTTCTGTCTTTAATTACATATTACCTAAACTAAAAAATGTAGATGAGCAATTAGTCTGTCCCAAAACATCAGTGAGGGATAACGGGTTATTCATAAAAGAAACAGTATGTGTGTGTGTGTGTGTGTGTGTGTGTGTGTGTGTGTGTGTGTGCGTGCGTGCGTGCGTGCGTGCATGCGTGCGTGGGTGTGTGTGTGTGCAGGCTCTGAAGAACTAAATCACAAGTTTACTGTGGCAAGGATCACCATTGCCGAGTCAGATTAGCATTGCCCTATTGTGGGCTTTGGCGCAGGTGACAGCCAGTGTAATTATTATACTAAATCAATTTGCATATTTTAACAAATACAAATTAGTTGTCCAAGCCAGTGTGCAAGAGCAGCAGGCCAAATACAAGAGATGAAAAGACCAAAAGTCTCACCTTCAGTTTTAAGAGGCTTGAGGGGTTTTTTTTGTTTTGCAGAAAAATCTAATGGCAGATATGAACATTTGTAACGTGATTAATTAAATATAATAAAGCATACACTAATACCCTGTCAGGCTAAAAATGCAAACAGGATGTTTGGAATAGTTGCATCAAACAAAAAGAGAGGAAAAAAAACATGGCGATGAGTTGTGTTTTAGTTGGTGGGAAAAAATACTATAATACAGGCTAATTTAATAGCAACCTTGGGTTGTTTTAGAAAGCAAATTTGTAGGGGGATTTTAACATTTTAACAAAAATATATATATTTAATTCAGTTTATTAGTTAAATAATTTTCAGAGAATCACATTCAGGATAATCTGAGTATTAAAACGCAGTGTGGTTTGAAATTTTAAATGAAGTAGTCCATGAAGATAATGGTATCAAGGCTGCATCCATTACCAGTGAATGGACTGAAAGACTAGTGTCTAACATTTGTGTCTGTCAGTAGTCGCATACCTGCACTGTAAGAGAGCCCAGAACATCCCTGTGTTCCTGTTGATGGTGGAAGCCTCTGAGTTTTCCACCAGAAAGTGCCCTTGAGCTGTCCACAGCACTGTAGGAACGTGAGTAAGAAACGTCATTTGAGGGAAACAAATTAACCAGTATGGTAATTACCCATATGGAGTGAAAAATTATCTTTCTGTGTTGGTAAGTAATGCATCTAACCACGCAGTACCCCTAAGACATACACATTCACTACATTGCAATCTTTTAAGGCTGCATGGAAGGGCGGCTTTCTCACTATTTTAACTAACATCTAGGAGCAAGCTCAGAGTGCTCGCACAATTTACAGAAACAGCTCCTAACCCATTTAAGGTCTAATTTTGAATATACTGTTTATACACATCAGCACATCCCAGTCATGATAATCCCTGTATGCACTATTTACATTTTAATAAAGAAACTGAGCATGCATGGACTGCAGTAACCAACAGGTTAGTATGAGGTAAGTATTTATGTGCCTCAGCATCTTGGGCTATTGTTAACACACTGTATCCTGCTCAAATTGATCAAATTGATGTGCACTTCTTTTTTGTAAATGGGATGTGATTTCTGTCGATTCTGAATAAAAACAGGCATTAGAATAAACTGTAAGCTATTTGCTCAATTGACAAGAAATTCATCGACAACTATTTTGATAATTGACCGTTTCTGTCATTTATAAGCAAAAGTGCCAAACATTTGAGGAGCTGCTCTGTCATGTCTTGGTTAGTCTTTGTTTTGAGTGTTATAATAACAGAGAGATTATGAAAATAATTGTTAATTGCGACCCGTCTCTAAGCACAAGTAAGACATAAAACTCTAAATATCTTGTTAAATTTTATCTTAATTAATCATTCTTCTTCCTATGTTTCAGGTCTGCATCATAAAGTAGTGGAGACTAATTAACAAGAGACAAAGCCTCTTCATCTCTGTCTGAGGATAGCTCCAAATGCCCTATAAAGTTACTAATCACTGTTTTAACTATCATATCACTGCTGGTGCAAACATGCATTTAAAAAAAATTACAGTTTGTAGCTTCAGCATTATTTTAGCTTCAACATTATTGTAACCAAATACAAAAACTATTTCATGTCTGATGTTACAGTAAAGATTAATGGGAGAGGAACTTACTGGCTGCTCCTATACCGATCAGTACAGAGGTCAAGTAAAAGGACCATGTTGAAGGGACAATGAACACAGCAATGTACCCACTAGACAGAAGACATGGAGAACTGTAAGGAGCAACAGCTTCAGTATCTTCAACATCCTGTGTGTAATTACCATGACAGCATTTACCTGTAAAGTAGGCCACTGAAAAACATAGTCATTTTTGGTCCAATTACTGCAACGACTGTTGGTGCAAGTAAATTGGAGAACGAAAAGACCCCATAGATGATTCCAAGACTGGGAAGGAGGCAAAGAGAATCATTATTCCAGTTCCACTTAAAAATCTACTTATTTATTCAAATGTACCGAACACCAAAAGTTTTCTTTTCCTCTCAGTCCTGAGCTGAGGATGTGAACCTACCTGTGGTACCCACTTCCAGTCAAAGTGTAATTCTGCAGGCTTTTCACCACAGTTTGCTGAAAGTAAGATGGGGGGAAAAACTCAGTGAACCACAAGGCAAAATGGGTCATAATTATGTCCTCAAGTCATTCATCCAGTTTGATCATTTCCATTCCACCACTGATGAAAATTGGAAACACGAGGTGCGCCTGACATACAGCTCTGATTGGCATGTTTCCTACTGCCCATTAGACCTTTTAGTTAAGATTAAAACTAACTTCCAGCTTTCACAAAAGAGTGCATTTAATGGTTTGTTATCTGCATGTGAAGCTATTTAGTGATTCTTTGGATAAATTACACACACATAAAAATGCAATGACTGTACAACATTAGTTTTTTGTGTTGCTGAACTGCACGTAGGCTGACAGATGTGTGTAAACGCAGCATAGGATTATCTTCAAGTTTTGAATGAGTTTTGCAGAGTTGAGTTGCCAGGAAAGTCCATTAAAAAGTGAAAATAAATCTCATTTTAGCAATTTTTCTTTTGTAGGCTGTTGGGTAAATGAGAAGCAACAGAACAAACAAATGTGACTCCCATGCACTGGTTTGGATCGTAACACTGTACTGGATGAGTATACACTCAGTAATAAAGTTTGCTGACTTACTTCAATGTTGCCACAGGTGGTGAAAGCGGTGAAAATGAACAAAAACCCCACTCCCAAAACCACAACGTTGAAAGTCCTTATGTCTGCCATGGCGTTTTCTTACTCCTCCTAGCAATAACGTTACATTCTACATTTATTGCTGCTGATAATGTTGCGCTATCGACTCGTCTGACCTACAAATCAAAGGAAAGACTCCCAAACAGATTCATCAACGACTCGGATAAATACATTTCCAAGTCGCGCCACTAAAGTTGACTTCACTAACTGTTTAGTTACAGTTTAATGCGCAAAAATCAGGAATAAAATGGCAGAGGTTTTGCGGAGAGTATGGGACACAGATAGAGTGGCACTGTTATGAGGGCACTTCCCTTCTATCATGTTGGCTACGCATGACAACTTGTGACTTAAATTAAAAGCAATTTTTTTGCGATCCTCTTCTTCGACTTCTTTGTCATAGTTGTCCTCTCACTGCTGCGGCTTCTTCTTCTTCTTGTGCAATTTGCGGTAATTCACACTCATTTAGCGTTGCTGCCTTCCAGAGGTAACCAGGAGGAATATTCTCCCTTGGAAAGAGAAACAATTGTCTCACATTCATTGCAGAGGTTATAATGTCAACAAACAACCAAATAACTCATGGGAGCTATAGGCAGTAGTGTCATTTTCAGTGTAGGCCTATTTATTATTACATTTATTTCAGTCTTCTGGTTTACTGATAATTAGAGAAAATGTCATGACCAAGCTCAAAGATTCCGGTCAAAAACTGTAATGTGATAAAGAGTACCAAAGATGGAGTAGAAAAGCACGCCAAATTCTCAGTAAAATCAGTTGGATTTTAAATCAGTATGCCAAAGAGAGTTAAAACTCACACTAGAATTCAAGATTATATATATATATTCTCCTATGTTGTTAAACATTGTTTTATTGTTTTACACTTTCTCTTGCATGTTCGAAATAAAGATTTCAATTCAATTTAAAGAGATAATTCGTAAGAGATTAGCAAGTAGTCTAATGCTTTTTCAGCTATTGGTCCCATTTCTACACAAAGATAGCCGGTTCGCCTTCCAACTATTGTGGATACATGAATCATATAATGCATGGTTGAAACATTTCTCACATTATTGTAATTCCAATAAAAGGTAACCCTCTATAGAAGTTGACACGAGTATTGTGATAGGTGGTATGATAAGATTGTTAGGATGTTATATTATTGTTGTTGGTGGTGGTGGGGGGGGGGGGGGTTAATTTGTCATGGTTGGAGATGTTTCATAGAATCCAATAGTTGGCGATAATGCATCTTTTTAAATCCCAAACCTCAGACAATATGGAGAAGAAGAAAAAGGTAACCACCAATAGCCACTGAGTACAGTGCCACCTCTTGGTGTCTGCTTTTGCTACCACAACAACAAAGAAGCTTAGCAAAGCGAGAGTACGACTGCCACTTACTTCCGTGTTTGCCAAAATGCCCGTATGTTGCTAAATTACACAGTTCGTTTTTTCAGTGATTCGAATCAAAAAAAATGTTTTGCGCCAGTCTTAGTTGACGACATTATATTGATACATTATTTAGTTAATCATAAATACAACTGGTTTTGTCATAAAGTTTATTTGCAGTTATTTTCGATGACACATGCGTATTTACATTCTGTTTTCCTTTGGCAATCTGAAACTACAAATGTTTTAACGTTGTGACGGTAAGTATCGTTACACTTGTTATGCCATTTTCAAACGTGTATTGTTTTTTCCCCGTTTGCTATTTTGTCAAACGTTTGAGCAGAACTTTCGTTGTATCCAGTCGACTTTTGCTTCCGGAACATCAGTAGTCATCCTGCTCTGGGCAACCTCTTTGCCACAACCTGAAACAGATTGTACACAATCATCATGGCGACAGTGGATGGTGGGTATTGAGAAAATATAGTACTATTTCCTTCATATCTCTACATAGAGCTTAAGCGCTGTTAATGAAATAACACGTGTTTGTAACTGACACGTTAGTGTGTGACGCTATTATTGCAGGGTAACGCAAATGTACGCCCCTCCGTAACGTTATTCTACAAATGTTAACCAAGATTGCAGCTAGCTAACGTTAACGACTGCTAACACCAGTGACATATAGCCACAAATGTGGAGGGCTGGAGTTAATGTTGGAAGATTTAACCAGTGCTTGGTTTGAATTGATCAACTTTTGCTGCTAAAAAGCTAACTACGTATGGTAAAGTTATAAATGGTAACGGCGAAGTAACGTCATCAGCGTGCAGTATGTTACGTTAACGTTTTGTAACCAGTAAGGCCAGTCTTATTATCCACTATTTTGGCGAGTAACGTCACATATTTTCGTCTGAAAACCATCTGTGTTTGGGTTCAAGCGTGGTTGGATCTTATTTATCCCCTCGTCCAACACAGAAGTAAGAATTGTTGCCTAGATGAAAAAAAATCCGCCATGGAAAGAGCTAGAAAGACCACGAGAGAGCTAGAGACAAAGCGAACAAGACTTCAACACACACTTTATACTGTTGACGCATAGTTATATTTCCATACTTCAGCCAGCTTAGGTATTCTGGAAGTATGGTTAAATGCATATTATAAAACGAAAATAATTGATTTTATCAAAACACAGTCATAAGAATTGTAAACAAACTACCCTAACTAATCAACTGTTAACCCACTCTTTATTAATTTAAAGGCTCCATAATTAAGAGACTCGGTAGATTTAAAAATGGAACAACCTGTCTTAAAAGTACAAAATAACTTACTGAAAGTTGTTTGAGATAAACACTGTATATGTTACGTTTGATGATTATACGTTTCATTTTCAGTTTCAAAAACTAAACTGGACTTCCTTCTTTTGGCCGTATTAGAATAAGAACATTTATGATTTCAAGAAACACATATCAGTCTTGCTTAGTCTGCATGTAATACACACTGTTTAAATGCAAGACACACTTGCTTGTTGACTATCTCTCTGATAAGCAGGACATGCCAGATGGGAATTTCTGAATATTTGCATCTATGTGGGAGCATATACTATTCTAAGAACTACCAGCCTTGCACTTACCAGCTCCATAACAGTTAAATCAGTGGATCTTAATCAAAGTTTTTATGCTTTTCCAGGAAGTGAAGAAGTCATAATGGAAACTGAGGCAAAGCCAAAACAAGCTGACCCACCAGGAGAAGATGCCGAGAAAGGTGACACAGAAACTACGTCTCACTCAGATGCAGGGAACGCCACAACTCAGGACTCTAGTATTAGCAATGGGGACAACGCAGATGACAACCAGGAGATGGTGGACTTGAAGATTATCTGGAACAAGAATAAATATGATCTGAAAATTCCTGTTGATAACACCGGAGCCAAACTAAAAGAGAGCATCCATTCACTCACTGGTAAGAGCACACAGTAGTTCACCTTAAAATAAGTTGAACACGGGTGGACGTTACTGCCGAACGAGCTGTCCGTCAGAAAGCAAGCCTGATGTTACAGAAGTAAGCTAGTTTAAAATCTTAACTGTCCTGTCTGATACAGTAATGTTGCCAAGTTGATATCCTAGCCCGCTGTTACTAAACAATAATGTTAGCTAAGCTAATTGTTAATTTATGGAGAGCAATGGCAGCAACCAAGATGTATGTAGTTTAATGTCAACAGGACAAAACATGTCGGCATCGGTGTTGTTTACACTTGGAGACGCTGGGGACATGTTCCCATCATAGACTGTGTATAATATACAGTATATAATTGGAAGCAATTTTTAAAAATGCTTTAAAAAATAGGAGGGAACACTAAGTCATGCCTGCATGTGTGCTGACTCGGCAGGGATGATATTAAAGCCCCTCCAGCCAGTTGTAACTGCCGTTTTTGGTTAACGTTCTTTCTCAAACAGGGAATGGGGGTGTGGTTAATACGTAAAACGTAATACATTACCATGAAAACCAAAAACTGACCGGCTGGAGTGTCCACTAACGATATGCTGTCACTACACTGTAAAGTTTAGTAACGTTACACTGTACTGTCTGGCAGGAGTAGCTATTACTTACCCATGATATAAACTAATGTGCGCCTATCAGCTGTTATCAATCATAGTATCGATGGTCCTGTCACGCACTGCACACGATAACTCCCACTAGGTTTTATGGTGCGCTTACTTTACCGCGGGCGTGTGGTGGGTCTATTACTCTGTTGAACTGTATGTAAAGACTTCTGATACCGTTGCCTCCGCCGATGCATTGGTTAAACGGCCGTCAGTACAATGCAGGCTGCAGACTGTATATAAGACGGTGGCAGGTGAAAGTGCGGCGCGTTTTCTGTCATCTGTCCTCCAACACCGCACGCACAAATGCCATAATGAAAATGAACAGCACACTAAACCAAGAGGAGGAAACTGAAAAATAAAATTAAGACCCTCTGTTAGCTAACTTTCTGCAAAAACTATGCTAGCTAACTACACCTGGCTAACTACAACAAGTTAACTTAGCTAACTAAACTAGAAAGACAAACCAACAATCAGACACAGAGAGACATACCTACTGTAAGTTCTAAGTAAATGACATGATAAATTGGTTAGCTAGCTCACAATGATGTGTATCGGTTTGATGCTCTGACTTAATGAGGCGGGACAGTTTTTAATGAGGCATGACAGTGCGCCTGCGCAAGCTTGGAGGATGACGTATGACTTGTGAACTATGTGGGTAATCAACATTGTAAGGAAATGTTGATTACCCACAAATGCATACTATCTCTACAACATGTATGCTTAAAACAAACCCCTCTTATTGTCTCTGTGTGTTTTTCTGCATGCGTATCCTTCTCACCTTTTGTACCCCTGACCAGTTTGCATGCCTGATCAATGTTCTCCTTTGTATTCCAAGGTCTTCCACCAGCAATGCAGAAAGTGATGTACAAGGGATTGCTTCCAGAGGACAAGACGTTACGTGAAATAAAGGTTACAAATGGTGCAAAAATAATGGTGGTGGGCTCCACAATAAATGATGTATTAGCTGTGAATACACCCAAAGAGGTCATTCAGCAGGAAGTTAAAGCCGAAGAAAACAAGAAGGAGCCTTTATGCAGCCAGAAGGTAATTTTAATGACATTTCTGCAGAATAGAGTCAAATATTTATGACGTGTTTTTTTATTATTATTTTAAACCTGCACTGTTATTTCAGCAACACAGGAAAGTTTTGGACAAAGGTAAACCAGATGACATAATGCCAGCTATTAAAGGAACAAAGGTGAGAGAAGATGAAGGGAGATCAATCCCAATGTTTGCAGTCCAAAACAGTTTCCACAGATGTATGTTGGCTATCTAAGTTTAAAATCAGACACTGTGACTAACTGCGTTGTCCCCCCCGCTAACAGGAACGATTACCAACAGTGCCTTTAGCCGGAATGTATAACAAGTCCGGAGGAAAAGTTAGACTCACATTCAAACTGGAGCAAGATCAGCTGTGGATCGGAACAAAGGGTGAGATTACAGCTGGCCTCCTTTCACTAAATACACCGCTAAACAAACATGCTGATGATGAAATGTTTTTTCCTTTTTGTGTGTTTTTCGCTGCAGAGAGAACGGAGAAAGTCCCGATGGGCTCCATTAAAAACGTAGTGTCTGAACCCATTGAAGGCCACGAGGACTATCACATGATGGTAACTGTTTTTGCTGCTGCCTGCATGTCAGACTTATCTGTTTTGTGAAAATTCATAATGCCAAATGCTCCGAGGCTGATACAAATGTGCATATGGGTCAGGGTGAAATATACATGGTAGTTGTATAAGTGACAACAAATGAAAATAAATGAAATGGAGTGAACTAAAATGTATTTAGCAAGCTTTGTCTATAAAAGGTATTTTGTGGATGTGAAGATGTGTCACTGTAGCATGTGCGCATCAGAGTGATAGGGTCATCATTTGCTGTTTTGGGCTCTGCGGTGGAGCAGGAAATGGCAGTGCTTTCTCTAGATTAACCTTTATGTCTAAAGGTACTCCTGTTCTTCATTGTCAGTGAAATAGAAATCCCGGAACAAGTTGCTTAATTGACTCAAGCTGACTCGTGGAGATCAAAGTCTATTGTTATGAGAATAAAGAATATAAACTATAGCAGAATTTAGTAAAGCCCAGTCGATGACTCTGTGCACCGCATAACTGGTGTGTTTTTTAACTTGATTTGATAATAAAGGAGGTTCTATAATTGTAATTACAATAGCATTTTACATCTAGTATTGGTATCCTGTACTTTTTACACTAATGGGAAGTAGACAAGACCAGACAAACTGACAGTGTTGTGAATTTAATAGCAGTTTGCCACAAGTGCACTTAATGCACTGTGCTGTAATGTATGACTGGAAATTTGAGGGAGTTTCCAGATTTTCTTCCTTCCTTGTTGCTGAGGTTTACTGCCACTTCCTACTGCCTGAACATAATTGGACTGTATAGTCAATAAAAATGTGTGAGAGTTTATACCTGTGCAATTCTGCCTTGTTGCATGGCATGGCATGTACACTGGATTGAGACAGTAAACCATAGCCTTTAGAACCACTTTGTTGAGATAAATCAATGTGTTACACCTGCAGTGCAGCAAGGTGGAATTACAATGACATTGCTTTGTGTTGTAGTGTTTTGGCTCATGAATTAAACCACTAGCTAAGAATAAAAGATAATGTATGAGGACTAGATGGAAGAGGACAGTAATGATTTAAAATGTCAGTGGAGAGGGTAAACTTAATGATTAGGGCGAAAAGCAGCATGGGGGAACATGAAAGTCGCATACATTTTTGCATTTTAGATGTGTGATTAAGTAATATACTGCAAAGAGCTTTGTTTTTTCATTGAAAGGTCTTTTGAGAGGCAGTATATTACACACGGTGTTCCCAGCTAGCAGATTTGTGAGTGTTGATTTATTTAAAAATGTTATGTTGCAAACATGCAGAAATCCAAATTTTTGTGCAGGACATTCCAGTTGAGCTGATTTAAATGGTTCAGTTTAATTTCTACAGATGAGTTGCATTTGTTGCTATTCACAGTTTTGTCTGTAGAATTATGTGTGCATCTTTGATCTGGTGGCTCTGACACTGTGGAAAGCTCTTCCTATAGACATTCTGTGGTCTCTTTTGACACATTTAAAAAGCAGCCGAAGGCTCTTTTATACAAACTGGCCTTTGCCTCACCTTGTGCTGTCTAGTGTCTGTAATCCTGTGTGTTTTTAAGGTCTGTTGTTTACTTATCGGTAAACTCACTACCATTTTTCCCAATTTCTTAGGCTTTTCAGTTGGGTCCAACAGAAGCTTCTCAATATTGGGTCTACTGGGTGCCTGCACAGTTTGTCGATGCAATCAAAGACACAGTCCTTGGAAAATGGCAGTATTTCTAATGTGCCTCATTTTTTGACGATGAACTGGGTTTGATAGGAGGAGCCAATTAAAAAAACAAATCTGGAGTCAACAGCGAGGCTTAAGGAACTTCTTGGAATATATTGGAACGAAACGGACAGGTGCCTGTGGACTAATCATATTGTTTTTAGGCGAAAAGTGCACTATGTGGCAGCATAACATTTCTCAACCCTGTTGATCATTCAAGTTTTCAGCAAATGCAAGGGAAATTGATGAAACAATTGTACAGAAATTGCTAACACTTTTCTTCAGTTATTCTTAAAGAAATAAAACTTATTTAATGAAATGAGTGCATAGGGCATTGTTGTTTGTATTCACCCAAACTTTGTCTACATTTGTGTTTGATTCACTTTTGTGTAGAACCAATGTTTTGCATATTTGGACAATGCAGGTGTTCCCAGTTTCTCTGCAAAACTGCTCATACTCTGTCTAGCTGTATAGTGGATTTGAGTGAATAACAATTGTCAGGTCCTGCCACAAGTTGTGGATTAGTTTTGAGGTCCAGACTTGGCCGCCCCAGAACTTTATTATTAGTCATGGTCTTTCTGAAAAAATAAATCTCCCAAGTAACAGTTCTCTTGCAGACCGCAGCATATATTCCTCCAGGATTTCTCTGTAATTACCTGTACAAGGCTGCTGTAATGTGTAGTGTTTGGCTTATATTAAACATAGATTTTAGCATGATAGCCAAAATGCTTGATGTTGGTCTCAGACCACAGAACTATCTTCTACTTTGTTTCCATGTATCCCACATAAAGTGCTTTATTCATCAGAACACCCATGAAAGGAGGAAATTATACTAGGTGTAAAAAACGTTAGGCTAGTACTCCAAGCTGCCTTATTTCCCTTGTAGGGTAAAATACAAGTGCTATCAAAATAATTTTCATGACTTGCAGAGTTAATTGGTGTATTATTTCAAGACAGTTTGACAAATAACTAAACAGCCCTCTAGTTTAAAACACAAAAGTATGGTTAAAAGTAATGCTGATGTTTTTTTTTAATTATAAGTGCAACGTGCCTCTTCATTTTGTTATTTTTTTAAAGCAGTATTTTCACCAGTTTTCATCAAAGGGAATTTGCCCTTCCTACCGGTATTTCAACATTAGTACCTGAGTTGCAGAGATTGATGGTAAATTACACAATACAATTAAACCGGTTCCTATTTCTCAAAACACATATACAAACCTGTCCAACACCAGATAAGGTGCACCTGGGGCTAATAGGTACATACTTGATCTCGTACCAATTCTAATAAAACCAAAAGCATTGAAGTCAAAAGTTAAAATGTAAAGCCATGACTTGCAACTCTTATTACCGTTTGACTTACATGGTAAGAGTGGAAAAATTACCAGAGGACAGAGATGTTAGCAGTTTAAAAAAAACATGTTTATTGTCCCACCTGACCTACAGTGAAGCAGCGAAATGATCTTTATGCACAATTTATCCACTCACACAAACACTCCTGTATTTTATCTCAAAAATACAACTACTGAAAATACTTTACTAAAACAAACAATCAAAGTGAAAGTAGGGAAAATGGGCTTTGTCAGTGTTTTTCTATTAAACTGTGTGATGTTTTGGGATTAATATTACTGGTGCAATAATGAGTATGTTGCATTTTACTGCTGTAGTTGGGTACGATTAAGCTGATTTTAACTACTTTAAATATGGCTGGGTTGTTTAAATTACCTATCTAAGCAGTTTACCATAAGATCATCATATGTTTGTAGTGTTGGTTGTCCAATTTCTAAAAACTCAAATTTTTCATGAATTCAGAAAAACACCCCTGTTTTCATCATTTGTGACGATGCATTTTCCAGTTAATCCAAGGGGAGCTTTAAAATAGTTCATTTAGTTTAAGAAGTATGAGATATTGGGGATACACGGTTGTCATTGGACAGAAAGGGTAACCTGAAAAGTAACTTGTAACTAATGTGGTCAGATAAATGTAGTGGGGTAGAAAGTACAATATTTGCCTTTGAAGTGTAGTGGTGGAGCGTAAGTATAAAGTTACATAAAACGGAAATACTAAAGTTAAGGACAAGTACCTCTACTTCAGTACAGTATTTAGCAAATGTAACCTAGTTAGTTACATTCCACTACAATTAAAAAGAAATAGTACACTGTGCGCCTCTACAGTGTGTGGTTGACATTCATAGACTGAGGTGATGCTTTTACTCTGAAGGATTCCAGACCGGAACTAAATTTGTTGCTGCAGGAAAAAATACCACACCTTCCGGCATGAGGTAAAGCTTGGCGGGACGCCGTAACTTTTCCAGCCTTGGACCACCGTTAAAAGACAACAGGACAATGAACACAACCGTAGAAAGGAAACGCCCTCCGCCCGTCAAAGTGTTGTCCGGTCAGCTGAGGACGGCAGAGAGCCGGGGTACAGCCGACAGCGGAGATGGATGTGTTATCAAGCTGGGCAGGGGTCGCTCTCTGCTGGTCTCTTTGGTGTGGATGCAGGGGACTGTACTGGAGGTCCAGCTGGACATGAACACCGTGCTGCTGATGGATGAGACGGGAACCTTTGCTGTTCAGGGCGTCAACAACATCCCCAAAGGGAAACCATGTTTGGCACAAGGTAAATAAAGTAGACTGAAGTTGGTTTCTGGTTCATGAATAACAAGTCATATTAAGAGCTGAAGTCAGTATTTAAGTGGGATGTTTCAGGGTGTGGTATAACGTTACATTTGTTTCAACAGAAATACAAAGATAACTAAGGGAGCAACTTACGTCAGGTCATTTCTGGTAGATTCATCAACTGTGAATATGCACAATAGGGCTGGTTAGGTCATTTTCCTGATAGATAAATATGACAAATTATTTCTGAATTATTTTATTGGTTAATCAATTAATTGTTTAGTCTATAAAATGTCAGCAAATGCTGAAAAATATCCATCTCATTTTGTCAGTAAAAGGTCACCTCTTCAAATGTCTTGTTCTCTCTGACCAGCTGTTCAAAGCTCAAATGTAATCAATTTGTAATAAAACAAAACACTAAATCCTTACAAATAAGAAGCTGTAATCAAAAAAAATCTTGAAAAATGACTTAAATGATTGATAAATTATCTAACTACTGGCAATTATTTGTCTGTCCATCAGCTGTTTGATTAACTGACCAATTGTTTCTGCTCAAATGCACAATAATATCGTGCGACATAAGGTGTCAATAGGTGCCCAGAGATTTTTATTAGTCCCCAGGACCAAGCAGGTTATTGCAGCCATGGTGCCTTATTTTAAACTCAATTTAAAACCTTTATTCTGTTTGTGAAAACAGACAGGTGGGTGATTTCACTCTTTTACAAGATAAGATCCAGGTCCAGGCCTAGATTAAAAAAATTAAAAAGCAAAAAAAACATTATACTTGTACCAGCTAAACACTACAGTCTAAACCAGTGGTTTTCAAAGTCTGAGGCCGCCTCACACTTTGAAAACCCCTGGTCTAAACTGTATCTAGTTCTCTGTCCAGTTTGTGTTTTTGAAAATGCAAAATATGATCTTGCTACAGGTGCTGATCATATAATTAGAATATCATCAAAAAGTTGATTTATTTCAAAAAGTGAAACTTGTATAATGTATACATTCATTCCACACAGACTGATATATTTCAAGTGTTCATTCCTTTTAATTTTGATGATTATAACTGATAACTAATGAAAACCCCCAAATCAGTATCTCAGAAAATTTGAATATTGTGAAAAGGTTCAATATTGAAGACACCTGGTGCCACACTCTAATCAGCTAATTAACTCAAAACACCTGCAAAGGCCTTTAAATGGTCTCTCAGTCTAGTTCTGTAGGCTACACAATCACGGGGAAGACTGCTGACTTGACAGCTGTCCAAAAGACGACCATTGACACCTTGCACAAGGAGGGCAAGACACAAAAGGTCGTTGCTAAAGAGGCTGGCTGTTCACAGAGCTCTGTGTCCAAGCACATTAATAGAGAGGCGAAGGGAAGGAAAAGATGTGGTAGAAAAAAGTGTACAAGCAATAGGGATAACCGCACCCTGGAGAGGATTGTGAAACAGATTCACAAAGAGTGGACTGCAGCTGGAGTCAGTGCTTCAAGAACCACCATGCATAGACGTATGCAAGACATGGATTTCAGCTGTCGCATTCCTTGTGTCAAGTCACTCTTGAACAAGACACAGCGTCAGAAGCGTCTCGCCTGGGCTAAAGACAAAAAGGACTGGACTGCTGCTGAGTGGTCCAAAGTTATGTTCTCTGATGAAAGTAAATTTTACATTTACTTTGGAAATCAAGGTCCCAGAGTCTGGAGGAAGAGAGGAGAGGCACAGAATCCACGTTGTTTGAAGTCCAGTGTAAAGTTTCCACAGTCAGTGATGGTTTGGGGTGCCATGTCATCTGCTGGTGTTGGTCCACTGTGTTTTCTGAGGTCCAAGGTCAATGCAGCCGTCTACCAGGAAGTTTTAGAGCACTTCATGCTTCCTGCTGCTGACCAACTTTATGGAGATGCAGATTTCATTTTCCAACAGGACTTGGCACCTGCACATGGTGCCAAAGCTACCAGTATCTGGTTTAAGGACCATGGTATCCCTGTTCTTAATTGGCCAGCAAACCCGCCTGACCTTAACCCTATAGAAAATCTATGGGGTATTGTGAAGAGGAAGATGCGATACGCCAGACCCAACAATGCAGAAGAGCTGAAGGCCACTATCAGAGCAACCTGGACTCCCATAACACCTGAGCAGTGCCACAGACTGATCGACTCCATGCCACGCCGCATTGCTGCAGTAATTCAGGCAAAAGGCGCCCCAACTCAAAAGTATTGAGTGCTGTACATGCCCATACTTTTCATGTTCATACTTCTCAGTTGGCCAACATTTCTAAAAATCCTTTTTTATTGGTCTTAAGTAATATTCTAATTTTACTTAATACTGAATGAGATACTGAATTTGGGATTTTCATTAGTTGTCAGTTGTAATCATCACAATTAAATGAAATAAACATTTGAAATATATCAGTCTGTGTGTAATGACTGAATATAATATCCAAGTTTCACTTTTTGAATGGAATTCCTGAAATAAATCAACTTTTTGATATTCTAATTATGACCAGCACCTGTATTTTATGCTCGATCCAGAACCAAGATTTGGATTTATCTGGTCTTCTGTTGCCTCATTTGAGGAAAAACAGTGAAATTTCCCTTTTTCATTTTCAAAAATAGGACACAATTTTCTTAAACAGTCAGTAGGCTTTTACTATAATATCTAGTAAGTGGACATTTTAAATATTACCAGCCAGTCAAGACACATTCCTTCTTAAATTGCTAATAAGTAGCTGCAAAACAAAAGAAAAGGGTAACTGGGACTGTAGACATTTCTTACAGCAGATATTAAAAACTTCAGAATTGCAAATTGTGTCCCTAAAGCATGAACATTACGCTGGTAATGATAGTGACTGCACCTGAATATCTTTATCTGGAAAAACAGCCACTTCCCCCTGCATCACCGTCCTTGTTTCCTTGAATCTATTGTCACTGAACAATTGACCACCTGCTCCTGTTTTTACAGGCAAATATGTCATGGTGATGGGTGTCATCCAGGCCATCTCCCCGGAGCCAGTCATCCGTGCAGTGAAGATGGCAGACCTCTCCGAGCGCGGCGCACTTCACAGACTGATGTGGAAGGTGGAGGTGGAGGACCTGCAGCAGGTGCTGGCCTGAATGCAGAGCTGTTGGTGGAAATGCCGCCTTGCTGGTGACAGAACGACCTGCGTCTGTCGTATGTAAACCAGCTGGTTATTCAGTGTCGGAGTGACTAACGAGAAAAACTACCTCCCAGGACTGAACAGCAGATTCTCCTAGATGTCGGGCTGCTGACTGGGAGGTATTATGCCAGATGAGTTACAATGACTGACATGAGAAAACTGTGTTTACGCTGTGTGTGAGATGCTTAAGTTACAGAAATTATTTCCCGCTTGGCATCTTCTCCAATGAGTTCAGTTTTCAAAGTGGGGTTTAATGCTGGATTTATAGTTGCTTCTGAGGGTTTACGTAGCTGGAGTGCACCTCCTCAGGACAGTTGCTTACACAGTTACCTACTTTATGAGCAACCATCATCCTAACATTGTTACCTCCTGTAATTGATCTGCTTATGCTTGCAGTGGAACAAACATCCAGATACCAGGGCATCTTGCATCATTATCTTATCTTTGGAAATGTCTTGTCAGATTATACCACAATCATCTTTGTAAGAATTTGGTATCGTTTTAGAGCAGATGCAAGATGGTTATACAATTAAAGAAAGATAACTTAGATTTTCAAGTACTCTGCTCTACTTTTATTTTCCAAAAAACAGAATTTAAATATTTATACCTATACTGTTTTTCAGTGACAAAATATTTAGCTCCATCTTGAAAACAATTTGATTACAATGACATTTTCATCAAAGTTAATTTCTGCCTGTGATGGAATATAATAAACTAAAATTTTCCAGTATTTCCACTTAATAGTATACATCTTGGACAGAAATATTGTAAATTTCCTCCAATCATTTGACAGTTTTTATATAAAAAGGAGCTTTAATTGGCTTGAATTCAGAAGGTGTGCGGTTATATTTTTCTGTTTTCAGTAAGGAAAATATGTGAAGGAATATTTCCTTTGACATGTCGTGAGTTTTTTATTAGACTAAAAGCTGAGCGAGCTTGTGTATCGGACTACCACTTCTAGAGGTACAAAGTGATCTTAGGAGACGGGACGGCCCAGGGGTAGCTCATTAGCATGCTAACTTCAGTAGACATCTTTGCAACACAATATATAGACATTGAAGTGTTAATTCTGTCATTCTGACACTACTCCGAAGGATTCTTTCCCTTGCCTTGAGTACTTTAGTACTATATTTGATATCTTCTGTACCCTTTATATCTACATAACTTTAAGATTTTCAGTACAGGATTATTACACTTGGAATGGAATACTATTACAGTGTTGTATTACTACTTAATTAAGTAAATGATCTGAATACTTCTTCCACCCCTGGTTAGAAATGTGTACTGAATAAAACACAGCAGTTTAAACACAGATTAAAAAAGAGGCTTTATTTGGTGTGGTGCCCTTTACACTGGTAACACTATTAGAGAAATGGAAAGTGAGAATGTCAACTGTACTCTCAATTTAGGTATTCCATACTTTAAACATTAACTGGTAAAGACTGACAAATACAAACTGCTCATGAAAAGAAGTTACTTTAGGTCAAAGTATCTGAACGTGTCTGATCAAGGTTTACAGATGCTTTTTTCCCCCCTAATCACCATTTTCAGATACTGAATGGTGCATGGCAAAGCTTCAAGTGTCTCACTCAGTATTTGCTGTTAACGACAACACACTGTAGTTCAGATCAGAGTAAACCTACCACCAATCAGAGAGCCGGTCCTGAACGCCCTCTTTAAAATCATGCTGATCAGCCATTTCCTGTGCACCTCTGAGGCCCATTAAGGATCATTTGATTCAAGACTGTTTGAATACTGCGTTACTTGCAAGTGAGCATGAGTATTGTCATCACATCATTATATAATGTCTTTAAGCAGAAAACTGTATTTTCCAAAGTCATTGTCATTTGGTGCTATAAGATGGTCTTTTCTGGCTTTAGCAAGTTTCATCAAAAGGAATTCCCTGCGCTCCATCCACTCTTTTAGTTCCTGCTCCCCGTGTGCCAGCTTACACAACTCATCCTCTGTGCATGTGCCTTTGAGGTACCTGTCAGAACACAAGATCAAATGTCAACCATCACAAACTACTCGAATCAGGCAGGTTGCCGGAGAAACACACTATTCTGCGGCTGATAATCTTACCTCTCACAAACTTTGAAAGTTCCTGTGGGAAATCGATACTGCCAGCAGTTCTGATCATCCTCAGAGTTGAAAACTCTGTCTTTGTGCTTTTCTGAGGTGATATGCTGCTGCCACTGCTTCTCACTGTTGCAGTTTTTACCACACAGCCAACAGTGATTGCCAGCCTGCAAAAATACACAGACGGTAATTTGCCATTGGTGCGAATGAGACTACTGTTTCTTAATCACTCAAATTTATTGCTGTTTATTTCTGTTATATTATCACCTGCCAATTTACTACATTAAAACAAGATTCTATCAAAATGTTCACACTTTAACCATTAGGCACTAATAGCGTTTACTGCATCAACTTGACAACTAAATGTGTACCAAAGGAAAGTACAAATGCAATGGAATGCAGCTGCTAATGAGTGTTTTCATAGCGGGACAGTGTAACAGTTTAAGATCCTACAATAACTGAAAACTAGGACAGGATACTTTTGCAGGATTTTGTCAAATGCAACCAAAATGGAGTTGCAGGGTTTCACTAAAACTTGACTTTTAGAGTTACAGTTGGACTAAACACTACTAACTTGTTTCTATGCAAACCTTTGACCAGACAAAAGCACTGTGTCATATTTGCAGGGCTGTAAACTCACCACTTCTTCAGCATAGTCTGTTGGCATGTGGATCTGTTTGCCATTCTCCCTAACAGAGTTATTGGAGGTCTCTTCACCCCAGCCAGGCCTCTGAGACTGCAGCCATTGCTCATAAAGCTGATCCATATCTGGAACTAAATGGAGGGTATAAAATTAAAGTGGTTGCTTTTGGTGCATTTTTGGCTTTTCTACCAATGAAGAAACCCCCTCTTCTTAACAAAACTCACTGTTGTTTTCCTTCATGTAGGTCCAAAGGTCCCTTTCTTCTATGCTGTGAGCAAACGTGCAATTCCCAATGTACTGACACTTCTTGCCAGCTGTCACATGCATGCAGATCTAAGAAAGAACAACATAAAACATAACAAATAACATTTGGTGACCATTGCTGTAGATTTGTTTTAATCAGAAACACAAAAAACAAAATCTTGGGAATCAAAATGTTAGGCGCATACCTCAAATTGAGATGGGATGGGTTTTTTGGTTGGAAGTGGTCTAACTGTTGTCCACTTTTTCCTTTCGTGGGAACTTACAAGCACCACCCGCCTGTCTTTTGCCCACCTGAGAGAAGACGGACAGAAACAGATTTGTGGTGATGTATTAGATTACGCCATTTCACAAATCAATTCACCTCCTGGCCACAGTTCATGTGTTCAGGCCTTGGTAATACTTACGTGTGTCTCGCCTTGGCTGTGCAATACTTCTTGTTTTTGTCTGCTTCGGTTAGCTGGCCATTCCTCCAGCACTGGCCACAAACAAACATCATCTTCAGATTTGGAGGCCCAAACCTCCTCTGTGCAGTGGAAAGCTGCTGATGAAATTTGAAGGACTGATTAAAATGTTTGTGGTAAACACACAACAGTGATACAACTGCAAGATTCAGCCAAAAGTAAACCAAGTGATTCTGTTTTAACCCACACAAAATCAAATTTAAAAGTATAGTTGGCTGCCAGAGGCATGACAAGTAAATATAAAATGCAGATGCTTCCATGCACCTGGTTTGGTGAGTATGAAAATTATGTATACGTATGTGACTGTCTCTGATGCATCCTTTTGTTATATCTGGCTATGTTTGTTTGTCTTTTTGCTAAAGAGATCTTGATCTCACCTAGATCCCTCCAATAGAATTCCACACTTGGCAACGAGCTGTTCTGGAGGTTCGCAGTGGCATGATACCATACTAGACAGACTTACTTTTCATTCATCACCCATCTGTCTATATGGTTACATTTATACAAATCACAAAATGCCAAAAACTGAGTCAGACTGTTGGGCTTACCTGGGCTCCCTGCAATGAAGCATGTGCACTCCAAAACTTCTTTGCCTCTTGGACGATGCTTTCGTGCGTGATACCTACACATGATGCAAAATAAAAAAGGGGGAAAATGAACGGCTAAAATATTAAAATTATATTCAATTTAGCAGTGAAAAATACTGCAAGATGGGTTCTTGTTGGCTAGACGGTTAGTGGTAATAGTATTCCAGGTACAACAGCATCCAGCCCTTGGATGAATATTTTAAAAAGCAGTCTTACCGAGCTCGTGTTGCATCATCCAGACCTTCAGCTCGATGAGGCTGTGGGCGTAGAAGCAGTCGTCCTCTCTCACACAGCCGTAGCGGACTTCATGGCGACACAGATCCAGCTGGCACTGAGGACTCAAGGGTCTGATTTTGGAATAACGTACTGTATTCTCCTTCAAAATGTGGACCAGGCACCTAAAAGAGGGGACAACAATGTCTACAAGCTTATCCTGCTCTTATGCCCTAATCTTAGTCGCTCACATATTTGCACATGGTCTTGTTCGCGTTGGTAGATTATTGGAACTCTAAAAATAATTTGCAACATGATGGTTTCAGAGCTCCAAAATATGAAATAACTTACTTATGATCCTCAAAGTCGTGCTTTGTCACTGGATGAGAGCAAAGTGAGGGATCATCTTTGTTGGTTTTGCTGATTATTCTGGGTTTGTGGTCAAAGCACACCTGTAAATTAAACAATATGTATTAGAAACACTTCAGAACGCAACAGATTTAACACAGCAATGACACAAAAGGACTACATTGGTTGACAAAGTCTTACCCTGCAACATACCACAATAAAACACCATATATCACTCTAAAATTCCCTAACAACTGGTCCAAGTATGCCAGCTACTAGGGGCGTGACAGACCACAACATGATGAGATTTCGCGTCAGGTTAAAACACGTGTCAGAAATGTGTCGGGGGAGCCGTTTTGATGCGTCCTTGAGTAGTTCACACATAACGACTGGCGACCACAGATCAACCACTGATTTACTCCCGATCACAGCCTGACGGTCGCCGATCGTCAAATCGGGCTAAAAATCATGTAGGGTGAACTAGGCTTAGGCTACAGTAGCCTATATGTCTGCATTTTTCCAAGTAATAAAACTATCTCTCATTAGTTGGATGTATGCCCTCTGCAAGGCTGTGTGCAGCTAGACTATTTGTTTTATCAAATGCCACATCTGTCCCTCATGTTATTAGCAGCTCACAATTATTTGTTTTACCATGGTTCTGCACCTCTGGACTGTGAAAAAGTGAAAGGTTACTGTAAAAGCTTATGTTTGATATTTGTCTTTGTTATTTACTTGAAATGTTTGATCTTTGATGGAGTAAGGAGGGTTTTTAAATCTGATAAATTCATTTATTTGTTAGAAAAAAAGAGAATTTCTCTGTTATTATAACTAAGGCTATATTTTTACATTGATAAATGTCCTTAACTTGAATACATAATCAAATAAAGAGACAGTTATTTAACAATATGTTAAGGAGTAGTTACGTTTATACAGTCTTACAGTTGCAACTGGCCCTTTGAGGGTAACCGTAATGCTTATGTGGCCCTTGGTGAAAATGAGTTTGACACCCCTGGGTTAAAAGGTGTCGAGAGTCACGCGATTTACATTTCTCACCACACATCAATTTTCTCATGCAGTGAAAAACAAAAGTAACTGATACTGTGACTTGTTGTGTGAATCAACTCCACCCAGCTGATGCGACACAGACGTGATAGTAATCAAATGAATCTTGTGCAGTGAATCCAGACAGTTGTGACGAGCTAACTGGTAGAGATTTGCAATGTAAACATCTTAAACCTGAGGCTCAACCTTGCTCTCTGCTTGGGCCTGTGAGCTACACTTTATCGGAGGTGCTGAAGTTAACGAGTGTGGATTTGTGGTGACATTTCTGCCTGATCACAACTGTTTTAGTTTCGTCTATCCACCACCTCCTTGTCTGTCATCCTACAGGCAGTTTCAACCAGGTTTTCTGTGTGTCAGACGCTCTAAAGGGGATATTACCAGCTAGGGATAGGGATCGTTAATTTTTATTGATACCCTTATTGAGACTGCTTAATGATCAGATACCACTATCGATACTTTACTATTATTTTGTGATGGTTATTTGGTAAGACCAGACCCAACAGGCATGAGGTAGGGCTGCACAGTATGAGGAAAATATTCAATGTGCCATAACGTTATATATTGATGTGACATATCACTTGCGATAAATAAACATATATTGAAGTGTACATATTAACTGCCTGGTTATTAATATTTTAAATGCAGCTAAATGTTGTTTCTAGAGCAGCAACATTAATGTTTACAACAGCAAAGTTACTGAATAACTTTATCTGCCATCACAAGTAGTGAGTGACGTTTAGAAAGAATAACACCAGTCTGTATCAGTCCCTCCTCTCTCGCTGGCTGCAGGTAACCTTACCAGGTAGGAGGAGGAGCGGCTGGTTTGTCTCAGCCAGCAGCTGAGTTTTTAAGACTACAGGCCAGTCTGTGCTCCAGACAGACAGCTTTCTATTTAGCTTGTTTTTAACATTTGGCTGATGCCAAGCTAGCGTTAGCTTGTATAAAACATACAGGATGAGATACTGAGGACAGAGATGATTAAATTAACCATTTCTACATGTTTAACGTTACCTTACAGACAGGTGTATTGATAAAGTATTGTCTTTTTACTTGCGAAGGTTTTATTGCACGTACTTACAGTAACGAGCGTAGCTGCCATCAACTAACGTTACGGTAGTTTGGAGCTCACTTAACCCTCACCGTATTCCACCGCGCTGGCGCAGCCTCTCGCGCTGCTGCCGCTGTGTGTGTGTGTGTGTGTGTGTGTGTGTGTGTGGAGCCGACAGAGAGCAGTCAGAGACTGCAACCTGATTATTTTCTTATCCACTGCGTTTCAAATTAAATCACATTTGACGCTCAAGACATAATGTTACATCACAGGACCCGCAAGTCTCGATAGCAGTATCTATAAACTCGAACCTTAGATTTTCGGGTTTTGAGAAATTTTGGAACCGGGTCCCGATCATCCATCCCTATTACCAGCGGAGCAAAAACATAATGCACAGCAGAGTATAGGGCTGGTAGACTTAAAAATATAAATTCTCATTAAATGATGCCGTTAGTCTCCCAATATTACGTAATTTTCTCGACATGTCAGGCAACCCAGACAAAAAACCTGCTGAAACACGGGAGCTACTAAAGTCCGGGAGTTTAGAATTGAATTAAAAATTAACTAATTTATCATTTATGTGCCACATGCATATTTACTTACCCAAACAAAGACACAAAAGAGGAGGGAAGACTAAATCATGCCTGCATGTGTGCTGACTCAGCAGGGATATTATGAGAAAAGTTGATCTACAGGAAAAAACACCTGAAAGCAACACCTGAGAGCCTTACTGCATCATATTGTTTAATAGTTTAGATTTTGTATTGTCACCTGAATTTTGTTTCCCTTTACATAAATACATATTTCCATCATAAGCTGGTGCAGAAAATGAACTGTTTAATGCTCAAAATGTCTATATATAATTCAGTATTGAAAATTGCTTAGAAATTGTGTTAAAATCTAGTCTCAAGTCTTGTCTCATCTCGTGAGCTAGGTGTCTCGTCACACCTCTACCAGCTACAAAGCACCAGACAAACAATTATTACACAGAATCAAAAAATGAAGCTCCAATAAAAACACAGCCTTACATTTCACATACCATTTATCACATTGAATGTATTCATGGCCTTATTGTTCTTCATAGCAGAAGATTGTTGTAAGAATCACGTTTGAGCTAAATGTCCATTTACACTGAGACAAGCGTGTTTTTTTTGCTCCTCACACTGGAATGAAAAACAATCCTGCGAATGGGCATCATTAAGAACATCCACTTCCAGCAGCACTGCACCACTGCAGTTACAGCAGGCATATTAGTTTTGAAATAAGACACTAAATAAATAAATACTCACTCCACAAAGAAACATGAATATCCCATGATGCTCCTGTAAGATCTTAGGCACAGTCAACCTGACGTTGGAGTTGGGCCCATAAGGATCGAAGAGTAGTTCTCTGGAGATAAACCCTTTTCGCTCCAGAGTCCAGACATCAATCTCTTCCTGGCAGTATGCAAATGTGCAGTGACCGGGGTACAGGCACTCTTTCCCAACAGCCACCTCTGAAACAACACAGGTAACATTTTAGTATGCGCTGTTATCCAGACATCACTTGTGCAATAAGGGTAGGTATGGATGCTAGGGGATACTGAAAATATTTAATATATTTAAACCTCAAATTTTCTAATAGTAATTCCTTATAAAATGGAGGTAGCCATTTATGATCCTTTTTCCCCTCTTTGTTAGAATCTAAGTAATGGGATTTGTAGGTAATGAAAAAAAGAAAATGGTCCATGGGGCAAATGCAATATTTTCTGACCAAGGAATTTTACACATTTCGAAATGTTACCTTTGCAAATGTAATAAGGTCCAACGTATTGGGTTTTTGTTGGTCTGGGCCGAATGAGCTTCCACGTTTTGTCTGGCAAGTGTTTGATTCTGCCAAGTAAAGCATCTTTTTTGCATTTATGCTCTTCTGTATGAAGTGTGTAATCCAACACACCGGGTCCTGTGGATAAAAACAACCATTAGACTGAACTTTACCACTAACCACACACAACTGGACTGTTAAAAATAATTCCTCACCAGTTTTGACGTAGCAGATTGAGCACGCTTGTTTGAATTCATGTGTTTCAGCTAAGGGATTCTTTGCTAAATCCACGGCAGGAGGAAAGCCCTTCACTTCAGGCATACCCACAGCCATTCCCATTGGGGTTTCATTACTGTTCAGCTAATAAAAAATAAAATATGAATAATGACAAGATATAAGCCTGTAACAATGTCTAGACTGACAATGGCTAATAATTAATATGATTAAGATTACCTGTGAAATGAATGAACTCGGAACATAATCTGAAATTTAAAAAAGAAAGTTGAAAGTTAATAAGGTGGTTAAGTATTGTTCAGCTTTTTGATACTTTTATCAACAGTAATATTAGTACAATATTCATTTGAGCAATGCCATGCTTAAGCAGGCCAGGTAAGAAAGTAGAATAACCTGTTTTAAAGTCTGTTATGGTGAGACTATCCAGGGAGTCGAGCGGTGGTGGGAGGGGGTCAAAAGTGTCCATCCCAAAATATGCACTGGACCCTGACTTGTGATACAGCGGGGGCAGCGTTACGGTGCACTGCTGGGAACTACTGTGGAGAAATGGGTTGATGTGAGATGGCATCAGGAATGGATTCGACATGGGACTGCCTGAGGCAATACTGGTTGGCAAAGGAAGAGGACCCCTCACTGTGGGTATAACCTGAAGGAAGAGACAAACACGAGTCACACTTCTGTTCAGGTACTGACACATTGTCCCATTTGATCACTGAGCCCCCGCCGTCATATCTGCTCACTGACCATGGCTGATTCGGGGCCAGCTTGGTCCAGTAGATCATCTAGGTCGTCCCCAATGATGTCTGCGTCGAAATCTTGACTGGTGTCAAGCATCGGGCAAGGCTTACCGGTTCTACACCCATTAACAAATGTGGGTACCGGAAGAGGGACTGACGAGGGTACAGAAACAGGGAGGGAGACGGACTCGAAGCCCGGTGGCTCAGACGGGGTCACAGATGAGATGCTGTTGTTGAGAGGAAGTTCATCATTCACTGCTTCATTTAGAGACGGGTGCGCTGCCACTGGAGCTGCAACTGGAGCCGCAACACTGCTATCCTGAGACAGCTGAGGCGCTTCTGTAACACATCAGGGAAAAACAGCATGAATAACTTTTGTCCTAACCCCCTTTAATTATCAAATCAAACCTGTATAAAGTATTATCCTAACTTACCAATTTCTATATCTTCAACTGAAGAGCCATGGGAAAACTGAATAAATGGGTAAGAAATTAATTGAACAATGTACTTCTTTGGAGATTATTGATAAATATTTCAGATTGTGCAGGGGGAAAAGTTCAGGAAAAGTCTCTTACTTTGTCACATGGAGCATCTTGATAACTTGATCCTCGCAAAACATTCAAGGCAGGCTGTTAAAAATGGAAAAAAAACTGAAGTCAATTAAATTGATGATTTTATGTGAATTATATAGTGGGACAAACCCACAAAAACTGTCAAAATTTTTCAAAGCCATACATTTTAAAACATATTCATATTTGTTATGACATTAATATCATGTAGAACTAGTTCTTCAGAGGAAAAAAATGGTTTCAGTAAATATGATCATGACGACAGTTTGAGATATTTCCGGACACACACCTTACTCCTTACATAGGCTTTACGGATTTTCAATCCCAAAATTTTGGCAAGGTCCTGAGTCAGCTGTGTGACACTGGAATCCTGGGGAAACAAAGTAAATTAATAGTGTTTAGTCAAACACACTCTGTACATTCCCTTCCTTTGATCTTTGTGCATTTTTGTAATGCTTATAAAATTGTAGAAAATGCTTTGATTACAATATTCTTGAATTTTCAACTTATTACTCATAATATATGTAGTGAATACTACATACTGAATACTGAAGGATCTGAACAAAAAATAAATAAATAAAAGGTATAACGTGTATTTTGGCCAAATGGAAGATCCAAATGTATGATTCCAGTGAATATACATTGTTGAACTGATTAATAAAAGGATTGTCATAGATGTATTGGCTAAACAGGTACACATGTACTTGATTACTATGTAGTCCATTCACAGGATGACGATTAGCTAGGTGCGGTCCAATAGGCTGTTTGTAGTTCACGTAATTCAGAATGAGGCAGGAAGTGAAAGGCAGAATGGACGAGATGGAGGAAAGCCCATACTGTGCTAGTGATTGTAACTCACTGTGTCGTCCCAGTCAACATGTAAAATTCAGAATCGCCCAATTCTTACATTATGGCTAAAAACCTATTTTGGAGGTCATAATGACCCTTGAGTGAAAAGTGTCACCAATTCAGTGTCCAACCAACTGTGAAATGTGATCATCAATTCTTGGGTTATGGGCAAAAACGTGCTTCGTGAGGTCACAGTGACCTTTTATTTGACAACCAAATTCTAATCAGTTCATACTTGAGTCCTGGTGGATGCTTGTGCCAAATTTGAATAAATTTCCTCAAGGCACTACAGTAATATGGTCGCAAGAATGGGACAGATAGACAACCCAAAAACATAAAGCCTTTGGCTGCGTCTATCGCCGGGGTGCAGGCATAAAAAAATTATTTTAAACCTGATGTGGACATGTGGCTGCTAATTACACCAAAAGGTACGTCAGTTTAACCTGACATTTTTTAATTCAAACTAAAAGGTAGCGCACCAATAGTAACGTGTCTTAATGTTGAGCTGAACACAATGACTTCCCTGTGTCTACTGTTCCTGCAGGCAGCTTGGACAGCATTTAAAGTATTTGCTTACAACAACAACAAAAAAAAAAAAAAGTGCGTGTCTCTCCTGCATATTTGGATACATCAACATAAAACACACAGACACTGTTAAAGACCTTACCTGAGGCACTGCTAGAGAACATTTGGCAACAGCCTCGTAGGCCTCTTGATGTCTCCCCAACTCCTTTAAAGATTTTGCTTTCCTGTACAGTGCTCTGTAGTTCCCTTCATTCAACTGGAGAGCCTTTTCACAGTCTTCTAATGCTTGGTCATACAGTCCCTGAGAAAAAAATAAAAATAAAAAAAGATGTCCCAGAGTTTGAAAAGCTATACTTAACCATAGTACTGTAGTAAACACAGAACAAAGAAGCCACTCTTTGATCGCAAATTGACTTTGCATGTCCAGTGAGTTGAGTCAGGTGTGGGTGTGGCCTCCCTGAAGACAGCAGAGTGCCATTTACTGCCATGTAACATGACTCAATGCAGACAGACGAAGACTAGATAGAGGGACTGGATGTTCCTCTGAAAAGCATTTCCCCCAAATGGAAGTTTTCTCAGTGGATCTTAAGTTTCTCCATTGATTTTCAGGGTTTGACAGCGTTCAGTGTGAAATATTCCAACAGCGGCAACAAAAGATTCAGATGTAAGAATTTACCACTACAATGTATGGGAGGGTAAAACGGGTGAAAAAAAAGAAGACTACGGTTTGTTTTATCAATTTAAAAATGTAACGGTAGCCTGTAAGCTCAGGTGGTATCACGGTATAGCAGGGCAGTGTTTTCCTTATATGCGTTCAGGAGCGACAGTGTGCCGCTGCTGAATTGTGACCGCTGCGACTAAAATTTCACACAATCATTATCATATCAATGCGCTACTAATTTTCGCTCACACTCATCGCTTGGCTCGCTTCCTCTCCTCGTTCTTCACAGAACATCTACGTGACAGATGATGTTATAGCAGGAGGGGGGTGCGTAGCAAGTGTTTGATTGTCCAAGCGGCAGAAAGTGACTGTGTGAATGAGCGCAACAAGAAAATATTCTGGCAGTAAATGTACGGTGTCAGTTTCGGTGTGTCAGCTTCTAAAGACCAAGAACACTCCGTCTGTTTCCCCAACTGCTGGAAAAATGAAGCTGGTTTGCGCTAGCTAACATCTCCCCTCCCCTTCAGACTAAGCAGGAAAGCTAGTACGCTACGTCTTTAGCTGCTATGTAACTTAACATTAGCTGAATTTATAGAAAGTAACTGGTAGCTGTATTTTATTAATACCTACTTGTCCAATGTTGAGATCATCAGGTACAAATGTAGACTAAACTGGTGTAGCCTACAGCTCTGTCCTGTACAGACAGGTACATCCTAAATTATTTTTCAGATGAGTCTGAAAAAAAATGGTTGTTAGGAAAAGAAAGGACGGAGGTGACTGGAGGTTAGTAAAGCAAATTAGTGATGCAAACTAGACCTTTTTGAATTTTAATGTGCAAATAAAATCTACCTCAGAAGGGAAAGATTTTCTCATGCTGCCTATTTTTTATATTAATGTCTATAGATTCTGAGGTCATATTAACAGGGTTTTAGGGGGGGATGCTGTGCCATAAATGTAAAATCACTGTGGTGAGCGGAACAACCAACCAAGTAACCAAATCTAAAGGTTGTAGTTCCTCCAGTAGGCTGATCTTCGGGCGTTGTTTATTTATTACCTGCTACATGATCATTTTTCCAACTAATTGTTCAGAGATATGGTGAAAATAATGGCCCAAGATAATGTGAAATTACATATTTTTCATTGGTAAATGTAATATTTTCTTGGGGAGAACCCCCAAACCTCCCCACCCCTCTGACCATGACTACTACGACCACCACCAAAACATTCATCTAAAGCTCACATAAAACGGCAGGAAAACACTGAAATTTTAAGACATGTTGTGTTGGGGTTTTATATTCAGACATACTATGCACTATGCGCACAAAAAAAAAAAAAACTGAAGGGTATTTAGAAATCCCGAAGGTATGACTTTTAATATCAAAAACTGATAAGCTGATGCTGTAATGAGGTGATGTGTTGTAGTGTACTCCCTCAACGTAGGCGGGCAGCATAGCGTAAAACACCCCGACATCATCTTCAACACGATAACCCCTTTCATATCCCATTTTTCCCCCTGCAGTTGGGAAAGAACACACACACACGCTTTACTTTGGTCTTGAGAAGCTGCAGCCTTCATTCACTGACAAACTAACCTAGACTGTACAAATGTACTGCCTGTCTGCTCAACCATCACTCTCACTCAGCCACACACTTACTACGCACACAAAAGGAGCTAATCATTGGCGACTGCAAGGGGTGGGAATACCGTTACAGGACTAGTTACAAAAAAAAGGGGAAAAAAACTCTCTGCCCCTGTTTGGGTGTGTTTTGGTTTAGTCCTGATGATAAAAGTGCTGTGCGAACATCATCTTCGTTTAGACTACACAATGCAATCCATGGTACACTTTACCCCGGTGAAATGTCAGGAAGGTATGATAAAATAAAATACTGCCCAAGCCTATTAGCCTGGTTTGTCAGCTTGAACAGTATTTAACAGAGAGTTGGCAAACTCTGAAAGTAATGTAAAGATCCTCTTTTTCTCCAAATATGGATAAATGATGTAATGAGAAATTCTAGCATTGATATATTAAGTCAAATTCGAAAAGACTCTCTTGCTGTCTCAAATTGTAACACGCTTTGTGTGTTGAGGTTGAAAAGCGCTGTATAAGTACAGGTTATTTACCATTTTTGTTTTGAGAAATTAATTATTTTGGTCATTTATGATCTATTCTTGAACTAATGTATACATGAATAGCAAAATATTCTGCTGTCCTAACTAAACAAGGTCATAGTTAACGTTGCATTATGGGCCACAAGCAGGGGACCTTTCTAAAAACTCTTGTTTAATGTTAAAGAAACTGAGGATAATAATTGCAGTAACATTTAAGAACCCAGTCCTGTTTTATTCTGACATTTGGTAAACAGAGCAAGCAATCCAACCTGTGGAAAACACCGGAAACCTAAAGGATGCAGGTTCTATTAAACCACAATATAGGGCTGGGCAATAAAACAAAAATGACAACTATCACAATATAATTTTCCTCAATAACAATATAACAAATGTTCAATAATTGTTTGATTTAATTCATTTCAATTACAAACAAATTAGCACTTTTCTATTAAGATATTTATTTTGTTGATGAAAGGGGACTTAAAAATGATTTTACTTAACTTTAACATATTTGTTAAAAAAATATTTTATCATAATTGTTTTGAATGTTCTACCTCAGATTTGTTAAGTGGTCCACTGTTTAGCATGTGTTTGTAATTTTTCTGAAAGAAAAAGAAAGAAATAATGATTTCACAATTTTCGTGATGATTACCGATATTGTATGATAAAACATTTTTGGCCATATCGCCCAGCTCTACTACAACATAAAGCAAACAATTTTATGAGACCGAAAACTGTCTGTTGTATTGTGTGCATGTCAAAGGGAGTTCAAAGTGATTGGAACAGAAACTGAAAGACTCAGGGTCAGTGGTGACGGTCACCACGTACTTACCGGAACAATGTTTAAATACGCAGCGGCCCGATTAGCATACAGCTTTTCCAGTAAACCTGTTGGAATACAGATTTCTTCCGAGTCAGCATACTCTGCTATACTCAAGGCTTCGGTGTACATCTCAATGGATTTTGTCCAGTCCCCTTCTTTAAACACGTCATTTCCTTCTCCAAAAAGATTCCACACGAGATCCTTAATGAACACCTGAAAATTTAAGGAGGTACAAATCAGTAGAAGCTACACACAGTGCAGCGTTGTACTTTCATTCAAGCACCTTTAATTAGGAAAAATTCCTAAATCAGTGTAACTCCGTACAGTCATGCTAGATGGAAGCTGAACAAACCACATTAATATGTACATAGCATACCTCATACTTATCTTGACTTCCAGGAAACGGAAGGGTTGATCTGAAAACAACAAAAGGTTCATGTTACAACCTTTGAAGTGTCAGCAGAACAAAAACAACATAACCGGGAGTCAGACATTAACAGATCTTATTAGAATTCAGTTGCATTCAGGGCTAATAAGTCTATTCAGCACAAAGTAGGACTGAAAGAAATTCAATTAATCTACCAATTATTTTCTTAAATATTCATTTAGTCATTGTACACATCTTATTGTTCATATTTATCAAAATCACTTGAGTGAATTGGGTTAATTTTCAATGTATTTAAAGTGATGCAACAATAAATTTCAATATATTTTAACATCTATATACTACAGTTGATACAGTATATTCTGTTCTGCACAGTCACTAAAAAACAGATCTGAACTTAAGATGTAAGAACACACAAATAGAAAGGTGTGTGTGTGTGCTGATAGGTTGCTGTGTGTGCAGGTGCTGATGGCATTGGCTGGTGAATGCAAACAAGTCAGCAAAAGCAACATGTAAACAAAACTTCGCTCTTAAAAAAAGAAAGACAAACATTGAACTCAGCATTAAAAATATATAATTGTTATATTTTTAAAATGCTATGTTATTTATATGGTTGATGTGTCCAATTATACCAAAACATTAAACAAAAAAAAGCTAATTAAGGCTGTGTATATACTATAGATGTCTCAACATGGTTCAAATCAGAAAAATACAAAAAATAAAAGACATTATTACTGCCCTGTCATGATTTTTGTTCAAGGTAATACACATCTGCATGCTGACAGAACTAAAGTTCCTGTCAAGATTAGCAACAGCTATTACTAATCTGGTACATTGCTAAATTGGGCAGATGATTTGTTTTACATTAAACCAGCTGTATCGTCAAAGGATGTGCGATTACATGTGATGATGGAAAATTTTGCAATAATAATCACAGCGACACTGTTGTGTTATGCTGGTTTCTAGAGCAGCTGGCATTTGAAGTTGTCTTTCCTCTTTTGCACACTGCACTACGGGGGCAACAAAGTTTTAGTTTAGATCACTGGAGGCATGCTAAACTCGCTTTCAGATTCCAACTAATGAAGAAAACAGCTGTAACACAAAGGCTCACCATACAGATAACACCAGCAGCATGCTGAAGTTACATTTATAAACCTGTCTGTAAATGGTTAAATGTAGTGACTCATTCTAATTCCTGTTAACACTGCTGTTTCTCTTTCCGATCCATTTCCAGCATCAGTTATTCATCTTTAAGGTGTAGGTTGCTATATTGTTATTATGAAGTATTTACTGACGTCAGTAGTATTTTAAGTATCACTTTTGTTTATGAATAAAAGGCCCTGTCAGATTAGATGAAATGAAACACTGCGCTGCCTGGCGTAGCTCCAAAACAATGTGGACATACTACTACAAGTCGGCCTGATGCACGAATACATCCCACATTAAAAACAAAACCAAAGCAAAGCCAGTATGATCAGCTGCCTCGCTGACACCCAGCTGATCTGAACAACAATGCATGGTGTAAGGCTGACAAATCACTCTTACATCATGCTGTCTATAGAGGCTGCTTTCTCATTAAAAAGGATCCGCAAACACAGGCAGCGACAGCAGCAGGAAAGTACTTGTAGCCGATCTTAAGAAATCCCAACTGATGTTTTTCTTATCCTACAATGTTCCCAAGATAGGATGATAAGAAAGACTAGTGGGTATGGCAGCATTGGAAAGTATCAAACATAAGATCTGACCAGTTGTTACACTTTACACAAGCGTGCTACCTATTAGGGTATTATACCTAATATTATACAAGTAAATTTCAGGGAGACCCTCCACCCCAACTTTAACAACCCATGACACTTACTGGATGAACTGCAGGCCTTTCTGAATCTCCTGCCAGCGACTTCTTCTGTCCTGACATGCTCTGGACATGTTTGCCTGTTTTAATATCCACTCCTCAGCCAGCACCTGAAATTATTATGATATACAGCACTATATTTACTGATGAATGTCTCTGGAGAAAAAAAACTCAAAACAATCACAATATAAAAGCACATTAGCTTATCATTAATCACCATCAGCAGGCTGTCCAGCTGGTTAAGGGACAGATCATATGTTGAGTGTTAGTATTACTCATATTACTGAAAGTCTTTAAGAGCTGCCTCCAATGTGTATAGCTTCCGCATTTAGAAATGACGACAGACAGTTCCGGAAATTACGGATAAACATTTTTGTTGGCTTGCCAGGTTATGATGCTAACAAAATAGTGCAATTTAAGCAATGTTACACTGAAACCTACACACCTGAAGCTGTGGAAGATAAAGGGTGCGCTGGGAAATTGTCTGATCCTATCTTGCGAAAGAACGGGGTCCATTATCGGACATAATTTCTCTGGAGTATTTCAGATTTTGTAACGTTTGTTTTCTAAAACATTCACATGTTTCAACATACGGGTAAAAATATTTACATTGGGTAAAAAAATATATAGTTTATATTGGAGCTTAAAACGTTATCGCCATTTATCATGTGTTTTTTCATGCAGTCACAGCGCATAAAACCGCCAAGCCAAACTGTCAACCCCACCACGTCATAGCAAATGTTTAATACTCATTATTGTTTTGACCATTTTACTTTACACTCATTTAAAACTTACTGCCAATCAAATGAGAATCTGGGTTAACGTATTATCACAAAATGTTCAACGCATGAGTCAGGAAGATGGTGATGAGGTTAGCAGTTATGGTCAGCAGAGCCAAAATTAACTTTATTCAAGCATTTTCTTGTTTATAAGCTTTTGTCGCTAAACAATCATGTCTGGTAGAAGACGGCGACTTCCACTGACTGTGGAAAAATACATGCTTTAAGTTTTACGGATAAGAAAGCACCCTTACAAGGAGGTGTCCGATAACGGACGCATACCATTTAGCGCACGTGTGTTACCGCGGCTTGGGACCACAGAGTGTACACTTTTCGTTAGCAATCATCATCTGCTAGCAGTGGGTTAGCAATATGTAGCTCACATAGTTAACCACTATCAATAACACATATAATCCCAACTGATGACACTCAACAGTTTTCTCCGCTGTTGGAAACACACTGACCAAAACCAGCTACATGACGTTAACGGACTAAGTTTCTAGGAAGTAGACTGAACCTAACAAAGCACAGGCATGTACAAGTTAAACTAGTTCCCCAACGCAAACAATAGCGAGCAGTAGATGTTCAGCTCCTGCCCGAGACCTGACGTATATACCACAAATAATTTAACAATCGCTGCTGTAAATACTTACATGAATATATCTTTATTCCAGACAAACCTCGCGTCGGTTATCTGAAAGGAGGGAAAGTGATTTCTCGTTATAGCTAAATTAACTTGCCTGGATGTGCTGTATCGGTGAAGGCCGCCCTTTGCTTCTTCTTCCTCAGTCTTCTCAAGTACAGCAATCATCGACTCCAGCGCAGTGCTTCCCTCTACAGGCAGTGGAAATGTTGAAATGTACGAAAAAGGACAATGCAACTTCAACATAGAGCAATAAACTAATATTTCTATTATAATAATGGTACAAATAATTATTGCTGTTCTTATTATATTAGTATTGTATCATATTAGTTATATTATAATATATTAGTATGTTGTTTTTATTATTAATATTGAATATAGACAGATCAATACAGGTGTTTTATGCATACATTTAAGTTGTTGTTTATTTGTTTGTTATTGGTGTAGTTTCATTTAATATATATTAATTTCATATGCACATTTGTGGAACAAAAATGGCACAAAAACATAGCAATAAAATGCAGTTATAAAATATATAGAAATAAGAATAGTCTATCACAATACAAATTCTAAATTAGTTCACACTGAATTAGTATTAGTATTAAGAAACGTTTTGTAGTTTTATTTTATTTTATCTTGGTGTATGCTAATGAGGATTATTACCTTGTAGGTAATAGCTGACCATGTGGACAAAATGTATTTGTCTTTGAGCCATTATACTTTTGTTACTTGCAAACAAAACCAATCAGTGAGTAAATATGTGGTAGTGTGGGGTAAGACGGCCCCCAAGATCAGTGTCTATTTGCTGACATAATGTAAAGTAAATTAAACACCTACAGTTGACAAATTAATTTGAATTTTATCAAATGTAAATTTTGTGAGAAAGGCATTTTCCCCAGCTAGTGGGGTAAGATGCCCTGTCTAAGCTCAATGTCTATTTTCTGACACATTAAAGAACTTTTTTTTTAAATTTATTTATTTATTTTGTATCTTTAAGAAGGCTATGCTTTGGGTAACATATGATATAATAAAATAAATAGCTACAGTTGACAGAATAATTTGTATTTAATCAAAGGCATTTTCCAAATGGGGTAACAAGGCGGCTGCAGGCGCTGAGTGCGGCGCTATGGTCCGGTGGCCGCAGTTGCTTTCTCCAGCCCGAACCGTTGGGTCCACACTCTTGCCTAGTCTCGCGGCATGTGATCAGACTTTAGCCTTGCTGTTTTTTAACATTAGGGCAAATCCAGTGATAACGTTTTTGATGGGAGTAACTGGGAAAACCCATAGAGAAAAACAATCTAACCAAACATGGTTCCACCACAGCACTGAACATTGAACTTCACACTTATTGAGATATTTGGGAGGGCATAAAACACATTCTCAAGGTTGTTCTCCTACATTAAGTTTCTCACAATAATTATTATTTTTCTTTGTTCAGAAAAAAAAAACTCCTTGTAGGAAATTGTGTATATATTAATTTTGCACAAAATGCAGTAATAAAATACACTGCTCAAAAAAATAAAGGGAACACTTAACTGACACAACGTAACTCCAAGTCAGTCACACTCCTGTGAAATGAAACTGTCCACTTAGGAAGCAACACTGATTGACAATCAATTTCACATGCTGTTGTGCAAATGGAATAGACAGCAGGTGGAAATTATAGGCAATTAGCAAGACACCCCCAATAAAGGAGTGGTTCTGCAGGTGGTGACCACAGACCACTTCTCAGTTCCTATGCTTCCTGGCTGATGTTTTGGTCACTTTTGAATGCTGGCGGTGCTTTCACTCTAGTGGTAGCATGAGACGGAGTCTACAACCCACACAAGTGGCTGAGTTAGTGCAGCTCATCCAGGATGGCACATCAATGCGAGCTGTGGCAAGAAGGTTTGCTGTGTCTGTCAGTGTAGTGTCCAGAGCATGGAGGCGCTACCAGGAGACAGACCAGTACATCAGGAGACGTGGAGGAGGCTGTAGGAGGGCAACAACCCAGCAGCAGGACCGCTACCTCCGCTTTGTGCAAGGAGGACCAGGAGGAGCACTGCCAGAGCCCTGCAAAATGACCTCCAGCAGGCCACAAATGTGCATGTGTCTGCTCAAACGGTCAGAAACAGACTCCAGATGAAAGCAGGTTCACACTGAGCACACGTGACAGACGTGACAGAGTCTGGAGACGCCGTGGAGAACGTTCTGCTACCTGCAACATCCTCCAGCATGACCGGTTAGGCGGTGGGTCAGTAATGGTGTGGGGTGGCATTTCTTTGGGGGACCGCACAGCCCTCCATGTGCTCGCCAGAGGTAGCCTGAATGCCATTAGGTACCAAGACGAGATCCTCAGACCCCTTGTGAGACCATATGCTGGTGCGGTTGTCCCTGGGTTCCGCCTAATGCAAGACAGTGCTAGACCTCATGTGGCTGGAGTGTGTGAGCAGTTCCTGCAAGAGGAAGGCATTGATGCTATGGACTGGCCCGCCCATTCCCCAGACCTGAATCCAATTGAGCACATCTGGGATATCATGTCTCGCTCCATCCACCAACGCCACGTTGCACCACAGACTGTCCAGGAGTTGGCGGATGCTTTAGTCCAGGTCTGGGAGGAGATCCCTCAGGAGACCATCCGCCACCTCATCAGGAGCATGCCCAGGCGTTGTAGGGAGGTCATACAGGCACGTGGAGGCCACACACACTACTGAGCCTCATTTTGACTTGTTTTAAGGACATTACATCAAAGTTGGATTGGCCTGTAGTGTGGTTTTCCACTTTGATTTTGAGTGTGACTCCAATTCCAGACCTCCATGGGTTGATAGATTTGATTTCCATTGATAATTTTTGTGTGATTTTTGTTGTCAGCACATTCAACTATGTAAAGAAAGGAGTACGGGAGATTGAGAGAAGAGATTATTTCATTCATTCAGATCTAGGATGTGTTATTTTAGTGTTCCCTTTATTTTTTTGAGCAGTGTACAAAGAAATAGCGATACCGGAAATATTAAATTAGTATTAGTAATAGCGATGGTCCTTATTTCTGGAATCAATTCAACCATTCTTTTCTTTTCTTTTTTCATAATTTATTTGATCTGAAATTTTGTCATCTACAAATTAAGTTTGCACTCTGTTTAATAAGAGTTATCAAAACAAGTACAAATACGTGAGAGCAGCAGACATATAGATCTGTGTGAGGAAACACATGCCCTGATCTTAATTTTCATCCTTTCCTGACTTATTTTTCTTTCGCAAAATTAGATTGGAGCTACTGATTCTCATTCAGGAAGAATTCACCCACAGACTCCCAGCAGGGCAGACAACAAACAGATCAAACATTAAAAAAAAACACTAAAGCAGCAGTAATTATCCTTTTGTACCAAAGGAACACTGCTACTTTGAAGAGTGACTTCCTCTTTCTGCATCTTATAAGTGATGTGTGAAATGTCAAATCCATTATGCCAAAGTGAAAACAACAGTCCAGAGTTTAGTCAGTTTGCATTTTAACAGCACAGGATCAGAGAATTATTTTGGAATGTGTTTTTGGTTTACTTTGGTGTTTATTCTACCCCAAGACCTACTCGATTTGTTGTTAAATTAAGTTTCTCAGGCTGAAACTTATCTTGCCTTTTGTCGAGTGTTTGTCATTTAATCTGAAAAATGTATTTTTGGATCGTTTGTTTATGTGCAATCTTACTGTCATTCACATATCATCTCACCCTCAGTCCTCTGGGAGACTTATGTCAACAAAACCAGAATTTAACACTGTACATTGTCTGGGATTTTGCTTTCTGTTGAGATCATTGCACATTTGTAACTGCTTCACATTAACATTAACAGCTTTCAGCCAGATGTGTTCTGCCTGATATGATCTAAATGTTGACTGGACGTTTTGTGGCAATTGGCAGGTTGAGCTAAAAATAATCAGATATACAGGGTTCGAGGGCTCCTCTGATGCAGTCACCCTGTTAGCTATAATAACTGCCAGTAGGAGGCGCTTATCTCACATTGTGCAGAAGCATCATTGGGGAACTGAATCACAGAAAACTGTGAATGTGTCCCCTCTTATCAAAAGCCAAAGCGTGTGTCTTTTATGATTTAGCTGCACTGACATTACCACTTTATGGATGACGATGGAGTCCAGTGCGGCAGAGCTGAAAATATACTTTCAGAAAACATAAAAAGATGAAAAGCAAAGATATGACACAATTCATGCCATTTTCAGATCAGGTCTGCAATTTGTCATATAAACAAACTGAGCTGTGAGACACTTGGAGTGCTGCTCAGTAAATCACACTGACAATAATGATAGCTGTAGTATGTCTGAGTGGTTGTTTTACGGAGAGAAGCCCTGTTCTATTCACCCCTACTGACATGTTTATTTCCAAGGGGAAGAAAACGGATGAGATGCGTGAGGGAAATCTATATTATTAGAGCACAATTACAATAATCTGGGTGCATTTGTTGGGAGGAAGTGGAACCATATATAGTGTTGTTTGCAGTAACCATATATGTGTTAAAAAATTAGCCCGCAGACGCCAGCAGGATTTTCTTGTTTTTTGGTATGTGTTTAATTTTTTTACCATACTGTATGAATACAGGATTTATTTGGAAAAGCTCAGACTGACTTGAGTTTTATGTGAGAACCATTAATCTATAATTAAAAACAGCATCCAGAGTGATACTTATCTGTAAAATATATGCTATGTGACATGTGGCTCAGCAAGATAGTCAGAAACTTTTCTTGTCAGTCTTTTGGTGCACGATTGGCGCAACATCCCAACACCCCAACTTCTCTATCTGTGATTTTTAGAGGCCCTGGCATTGGCAAAAATAACATTTAGGCAAGACACAGTGATGCTAATACATAAATAAAAGAAAAAAACAATAGATAAACAATTTGTTTTCATTGCTATCTGCGTATGAGGATGAGCTGCAAACACAGGTCTTACAGAACTGTGAAGAAGCAGTAAAACAGCTTCAGGCTGTTTCCTGAAGGGGGCGTACAGTTTGACAAACACTGGATTAGCCTCTGGCCAATGGTGATGCTCAGGAGATTATTCACACAGCCTCTAAAAAAAGCTCTCCACTCAATGCCACACTCACAGACTGTAAGTGAAAATCACTTGGTCTGGGGTTCAGCTGCCTATTTCTTGCCATGACTGCGTTTTACCGGATACTTCTCCTGTTATCTGGTAAGTTGATTATTTCCTTTGTAGTGGAGCTCCAATTAGTGATAAAAAGCAGTAGAGTTAAGAAGTTTTTTAAGGACACAAAGGCAGTCCATGTAGATTCAGTGCCTTGAAGTGGAAATTAAGTCTGTTTACATATGCACAGTGATTCAGTGAAAGTGTTATTCTAAGAGGTCAAGTGCAGACAAGCTAAACTGTTTTTGCACAACATTATCTACTGTCCCGTCATTTCAAGCCTGACCCTGATTCAGGTGTCCAGGCAGAGTGTAGCTTTCTGGTGTTCTGTTACTTAGGTTGAGTGGTAAGTAAGAAAGTAAGTAAGTAAGTAAACTTTATTTGTAGTGTAGTGCTTTAAACCAACAAGAGGCACCAAGGGCCATACAAAAACATTAACGTACAAGAATAAAAACACAGAAGATAAAATACTCACGCACACCACGGGAAGAGGAAGTGAACTAACAGCACAGCATGTAATATAAATATATAATAATTGCACCAGATGTAATATGATATGTCACATTACCACGGCTCATGGTAAAAATGCCCAACAAATGCATAGTACATAATAAAATACACAAATAAATAAGAAGATGCAGACCTGGTGCATACGGTTACCCAAACTCCCGTCTGAACAGATTTCTTTTAAAAGAATCTGCAGAACGTAAGAATGCTGGCAGTGCATTTCAAAGTCTGGATGCAATGGCCTCAAAAGCTCATTCACTAAATGTCTATGTTATTTATCTAAAGGCAAGTGCGTGTTCAGATAGCAGGTTTTACTTGTTAGACTTAGTAGAGCGGCTGATGGGAGTAGTAGTTCAGCCACATACCTTCATAGAGGTCTGCTTTGTTAATTGTTTGTTTGACTATTGTATTAGACTGAATTGCCTATCTAATAAAGGGCTAACCAAGTGTACACAGGCAAGACAATAATAATGCTGAAAAGAAAATAATTTTGTTAAGACTGTGTCAAAGACACCAGTGTTTCTATTACTGCGTCCACCCCTGAATACCATACTGCATCAAACCAAAACAGGAGGACTGAACCATACTAAACAGTGTGGATGGGTGTAAAGAAACTGAAACTTGTTGACAAAGAGAGAGATGACTTTGCTCGTCCTCTTTTGTTGTTTATATCTCTTTGCAGTGGCCGTGGCCTCTGTGGCGACACGCAGGTCCCAGCGGACAAAAAGAGGGTTACTCGAGTTGGCAGGAGCCATCAAATGCAGCACAGGGAGATCTGCCTTGGCTTACATGATGTACGGATGCTACTGTGGACTGGGTGGTCAGGGCTGGCCCAGAGACAGGGCAGACTGGTGAGGCACCAGCTTTAATTACGCTCTTCCCAAACCTGACTAAAGAAAATACAACATGGTCAAGTCTGTTTTTTTGTTGCTTTTTCAGGAAAATTATGCCTGGATACCTGATGATAGAGTGTACCGAAGTGTAAACATTCACTTGACACTATATATGGCCCACCTATACATTATGTGATGCAAAAAATATAATTCACCATGCAAAGGCAATGTGGCAATGACAAAGGCACATTATTTCCTCCTCCTGGATACCTTTGGTTCTTCTTAGTTGTCCTACATCCTGCTCGTTTACACACAGTTTCCGTTTATGAATGAGTCGACTGAACCACAAATGCTGTGCGATAGGATGGAAGCGGGGAACGATGTCCAAATTCAGCATACTCACATGCTCCAGTGGGTACTTCCAGATAGGCCCAAAAATTACACACCCAAATCCTAATTGCCGTCTCCTTCTTTTCCTTCTTCACCGCAAGACACTAAACCCCCTCAAAACAGTTAACTGCTAACTATCTGCTGTGAAAACCCGTGTGGTGATCCTGCCCCTGCCTTTCAAAATAGCTGTGGTGTGATTCAGACCACAGCGCTGTGACGTTCCACCAACTGCTTTCTTGACCCTGCCTTGTCAAGTCTAGAGTTCAGGCTCCAAAACAAAACATTTATCTTGTTGTTAATCTTTCTGTATGTAGGTGTTGTCACAGACATGATTGCTGTTATGGAGATGCAGAACATCTTGGCTGCCAAACCAAAACAGCCCAGTATCAGTGGAAGTGTGAGGACAAGGCATCTGAGTGTGGTATTGCATTTATCTGAAACTTTTTTCGTTGTTATTTAGAAAATAAGGTAGATGATGCTTTTTTTGTGGCAGCAAACGGTAACATGATGCCATAACACAGTGGCATGAGTATGATCTAAAAGTGAGACCCAGACCAGGCTGTGTGTGATGTACAAATATCCCTGGAGTTTATGAAAACAGTATGCAGGCAGCTAATTATGGGGGAAAGACAAGATGTTTCTAATATAATATTTAATAGTATTTTAAGACCCCATGAACCACAGTAGATTGTGTACTTACATAGCAATGGCCTAAATGAGGTTTACACATTTCAGTACCAATAAATAGTGGGTTGTTTCTTTTTTTCCAGCCACTGTGCAGGCATTCGAATCACAACAAATGTCACAATGTTAACGAGAAAACTGCTCAAAAACTATTTTTAATGGAAATCCTCTTTTCAGCTTGTCACTGAAAAAAGACATGTATGTTCTTCATTGCAGATGATTTGAAGGACAAATGTGAAAAGCTGCTGTGCAAGTGTGACAGAGATGCTGCCAAATGTTTGAGAAAAGCACCTTTCATCCGGAAATATGCTTTATGGCCAGATTTTCTCTGTGGTGATGAACACCCTACTTGTAATATTTACTAACACAATAAATGCATTTGCATGTCCTATGTGCCTTTTGTAAATATAACATGTTACAGCAATAATGGGAATGGCATTGCTCTCAAGATCAGAAACTCTACATTTTTGCTTTACATTGTGTTATATTTTACTGTTCTCAATGTCACATCATTATCAGACTCTTTGTGAAAACACATAATGATTTGTGTGAGGAGTAAAACAGTGTTGTGATTTTACACATACCTTTATATGAAATTTGTTTTGCAGAAAATAAACTCTAAATTTTGTCATGAGCAGCCCACGAATGCCTGAGAAGTCCTCAGGATTACAGCAGCAGTCCACATAATGAAAAGGCAACTTGAGCATTCCTCTGTTGAAACTCAGTCAAGGCTCAGCCAGAAGGTCAAATGTTAATCAGTGAGTGGGAAGATCAGATAGCTGGTCCTCACAACAGTGCTGTTATTTGTTTTAAATACTGTGCAAGGCGTTGGCCTCCTTATAACTCTGAAGCTGACTCCCTGTGCCTTTGGAAAGTCTGTGACAACACTGTATTCCTTGGTTTTAAAAAAAAAAATTTGGAAGTGTAGTGCACTAATGGGCAAACTGAGGTTTTCTTGCCTTTCTATTTTAGAGTCTGCTGTAAAGCAGGTTTCTTTCCTTTTTCTATGAAATATGTCAGCTGTGTTGTCAGTGCTATTTCAGGGACATGACAGCCAGCTGAGGCTTTGTTTAAAAAACTTAAATGTTGTGAAAAAAAAAAATGTGTGAAAACTCCATGTGGTCATTCTCTTTTAAGGTTTTGGCAGTATCACAATAGGATTACAGGTTGTTTCCCATGGAGTCGACAGAATAAGCTATAGTCACTAAATAGCTATTAAGTGATCTCATATACCCTTAATATTATGAAGTGCATGATCTCATTGGCTGTTCCACAGTTTTTCTTTTCCTCAGAGTACTAAAGACAACAGAAGCATGTTACATCTACAAATTGTGTATAGTGGGATGCCTCCACAGAAACAAACTGTGTCATCAGAGCAGCAGGACGTCACCTGGTTTGTGATGTGTGAAGTCTAGATATTCTCCTGTAGATGGTGCCATGTTCACGAATAGTAAACTTGCACACTGACACTGCAGGAACCAAGCAAATTGTTGTTTTTTTAGATTTGTGTTAAAAAACAGGATTTTATGTATAAAGATTTGTTTAAGCAAAGAGCCTGTTATTGACTGTGGGGTTTAATACATGCTGTGAATTACTCTATTTTGGTCCACCACAGTTGGTTTTGGGTTTGGCTTGGGAACCTCCTTCAAATCCAACTAGTGAAGTCCCACAGTCAAATCAAAACCTTTGTTTCCCATCAGACACCCACGAAACAGTATCACTACCACGGCTGTAATCAAAGCAAACCCTCTAAGTTTTAGACAAGTTTCAAGATCAAGATCTTTCATGCTCCAAAACATCGTCTACGAGTTTTGCTTTCTTTGTTGCATCGTTCATGAGTGTGGAATGAAATGGGAGACGATGCTGTGATACAGTGTCCAGTCCAGGGCTGGAAACAAGTATCTGGGTCATGGCCCACAAACACTTGCCTGATTGTGTCCAACCTTCTGCGGACTGAGCTCTGAAGTTATGGAAGTCATATGCTTCATTCAAAAGGGTGGTTCAAAGTCCCACTTTTCTGTATGTGTATGTCGTTTTACGTATAATCTGTGCAAATAAAATAAACTTTTTATAGTACTGCAATTAAGGTTTTTCTGCACTTCAGTGATGACTTGACAAATTATATGTCATGTCAAGTGATATATGTAAACATCCTGTGTTATATAAGCATGAAGAGAAAAATGCACATGCCTCATTTTTGTGATGAAAATAACTTTTCTTAATAATCTTTCTTAGCTGTAATACAGAATGATTCAATACGCCAGCTGTTTGAATGTACTGATGGTGTAACACAGGCTGTGCTTTCAAAGCATAAATCTTTAATTTTTAATGTCACAAAAGTGACATCTCTTACTTGGTTGCAAGTGTCTGAAGTAATTTGGAGAATTTTCAAAGGGGAACTTGATGATTGTCAAATCTCTAAATGTTTCTCTGCATCACACAAGGTTTGCATTTCATTTTTGCCCAGGCAGCTGTCTCGTGAAGCTCTGAGACCCTATGAAAGCAGCCTGGATCCTCGTTCTTTCTTTTCCAGTTCCACTTCCTTGTGAAGGTTGAGCGGTGGTTTTCTGGCAGCACACTCTTCTCTTCAATTCCTGCTGCCTTGAAGTGGCCTTTTAAGGTTTTCAGCTCTTGACTTGTTGATTATCTCTCACTTGTCCTATGTACTTTTGCCAGTTGCTACCATCAAACCGTCTGACTCTTTTGTCGTTACCTTAAGCCCCTTGTCGGACTGGACTCTATCTGTCATTGCTGACTAGAGAGTTGTAAAAGTTCACAGCTCTACCTGGTCTTTTTAAATCTCAAAGGAGATGCATCCGGTGCAATATGCCCCAGCTTTCATAAAAATCCTGGTTGGAAAAGACTCATCTGACCTCACATTAACATTTCTGGAGCAGCGTGGCGCTCTTGAGAAAATCCTGTGATTGAAGAAACACCGGTTGCCTATCCTACACATGCATGACGGCGTGGTTGTCACAATGAATAAGCGCATTCTTTAATCCCTGCCGGGTGAGCTGACAGAACCTGTTCCACACTAATTGCGTTCTTTAATCAACTGTTTGGCTCCCCACCCAAGAGCCAGATGGCACACAATGAAGTCTTGGCTTAAACAGCTCAAAACATAAACAATAACAACCATGTGCAGAACAAAGTATTACCAGTGTCGGATCTGCGTGTCTTTTTGGACTGCTATGTTCAGGCATAGAGTGAATGGTTGGTCACAATAGAGAGGATTTTCTTTTTATTTGTTTCAAAGGTTAGTACGGTCTCCAAGTCTGTTTGATCTATTTGAAGTGGAGTCTGGAGTTTGGTCTATACAAGTCAATACATCAGTATTATTATTTCAATTTTATAAGAATAATGATATAAATAAAATGTATAAATTACACCTCAAATGCAGTTGCAGCATGAATATGGGATTTTAGTGGGCGACAATCCTTTGCGTTTATTGTGTGAAAATCTCCATTGAGTTCAGAATGCTACAACCCACACAAACAGGGAAATCAATGTGTGTGGAGCCAACAGCAGATCTGGACCTGATGCCAATATACCTCATTTTACAGACTCTCTTCCTCCTGCTATTTATATCTCCTATGAGATTTTTTTTCTTGGAAGACTCTCTCTATTTGCAGGTGGCACAGGAGAAATTTGAGGAGATTAAAATAAGAAATCAACAAAGAGAGCCGCGTGGTTCACTCACAAAGGCAGAAATAAATGACTGCAGGCCTTGTAAATATATTTAAATGTACATATTTGTTTACAGGTATGATGTGAAAAAAACCCAGTTTATGTGTGTTTATAACCAGAGTTTAATATGTGTGTAAATAATATTCAAAGTGATGATATATTGAGTTTTAGGAAGGGAAGGGCAACAAATCTGTACACAACTCAGCAGCTCATTTATATGGTAATATAACTCTGTTTTGCATGTGTACATATTTAGACAAGTGCTAAGTTGGACTATGAGAGATGTGGGCATCATCTATAATTACCTAAGGATTCCACCAGGGGGCTGAATTTACAGTAATTCATAAATTGTTCAAAAAAAGAAGAAACCAGAAAATGCCATTAAGGGCATGGAGACATAATGAGACATTTAGGAAGTATGGTCCAGCCGTGTCAAATACTTTGAGGATGAAGTTCCAACTTTTGCTTGTAGTGACCCAATCTGGCTAATTAACTCCAGCTTTTGAGGTATGTGTGTGTTTTGTGTGTGTGTGTGTGTGTGTGTGTGTGTGTGTGTGTGTGTGTGTGTGTGTGTGTTTTTAACTTAGGACAGCACATTTCCTGTTCATTGTGTTGTTTCCTAATTGGAAGGGCAGCTTTTATTATTCTTGTTTAACCAGCTTGTTTAACCAGCTTGGAGAGACTCAGTTAGGACACATGTTAAATGTTTCTGTCCAGGCCTGCGCCACACAGCCTCCATTGGTGCCACAAAAACACTGGGAAAAGGCACTACAATTTTGATCATGAAAACACAAGGAATGCAGACACGTATACTGTTGCTATATCTGGAATTTAAACAGCAGCCGTGAAAGGCAAAACTAATTAGAAGGATCCTGATAATTGCCTTCCTAATCTTGCTGAAGGAAATGTTATGTGGGACACTCATTTCCACAAGTGTGAGATTGTGCCACATGCTTACATAGGCGTATATACTTTTATGGTAAACATTCTTTAAAGATTGTTTACCATAAAAATTTAATTTAAACTGTCTCTAGATATGTTTGACCATCTGTATCTGAATAGTAATATCAGCTAAAATTGACAGATTTGAAAACCATTTACTATCTTTTTTTCTTCTTTCACCATCATCAGTCATCTATCAAAAGCTTAATGGCAGTAAATCCTCCCAGGGAGGAAAAAAACAATTACAATGACGTTCATGGATTATGGTCTCAGTGTTATTATTAATGATGCTATTCACAAAAAAAATCTTATAGGTTACCATGGAAACAAGCTGCTGGCACTGCAGCATGAGTTTACTAATGTATGTCAATCTCAGTAGCCTTGACTGCATGATGAACATGAGCCATTTTTCAGTGCTCATGTTAAAAATGATCTTGGACTATCTCAACACAGATTCCCAATAAACAACCTGCCCAAAAGGAGCTTTGTAGATCAAACCTTGGTGCAATTAGTTTGTTTACATGGTTAAAGCTGCTCATAGTGTCATATAGGATTATATGCTTTTGCACCATCATGCTGAATAAACTCCAGAACCAGCAATTTTGCCATCTGGATCTGATTTTCAAGGTACTGATTTATGTGCTAAATGCAGCATTTCTTCTCACAGTGATGGCAGCTGGATGTTGGACATTATCCACCAGTGATGCACTGTGGATGTTGCTGACTAGGGCTTTTGTAAACCACTACAGCAGCTTCCAGTTGTTTCCTTCCTATCATCAGATTACAAAGGGTCACTTCAACAGATGGAACGTGATGATACGCTGCAGCATGCCATGAACTAGATATGAATCATTGATGCTGCTACACTAAGTGTTACCCAGGAAACTGTACTAGTCTGAGAACAGTATCAGCTTAATAGCTGCACGATTATAGTAACATTATCACATTGTGATGTGAAAACAATTTTAAAATTAAGAAAGAATATTATGAAAAACATTCAATTAC